TTTTTTTCTGAAGCCCAGAGGGAAGTCGACAGTCGTCTTCTTTTGTCTGACCAACAGTAAAAAAAATCTAAAAACATTCTGTTCGCAATAATATAAAACACAGAAAACCAGCAAATCCTCATGTTAGAGAAGCTGAAACTAGAGAATGTAAATTGACTTGATTTGTTGTCTATTATTTTTGCAGCAGTGACAGTAAAGGAAACATGAAAGGGTTCCCTACTGGAATCGAAATGGGGATGTTGCAGTTCTATGGCCCTCTAACTCTGTGTCTGAGAAGTCTTCTGTGACTCTTTACCATTTCGGAACAAAATGGATGTAAATTCACGGTGATCCCGGCAGATTTCACTTGTTTATAAGAGGTGGCAGCTCTGTAATCATGGCGCTCTTTAGTTGCTCCACCTCAACACATTTTACCTCGGTGCTGCTGCGATATGGATTTGTTGTCCCTTCAGTACGGAGGACTTCTCTCCTCACAGACTCTTAATCATCTGTGTTGCCGTGCACAAAGCCAGCAGCATCAGTGAAGTGTTTACTTCAGCAGGCGCGCCAGCCCAAGATTAACATTGTGTGAATACGACTGTCTGCCGCTCTGTGTGCTTCATTAGCGCTCTTGGTCAGTAGCGAGGTGGAAATTGAATAGATCTTTAGACAGACAAGGGGCCATGAAAAGAACGTTGGTACCACAGCAGACCTGTTCACATGAGTTACATCCTTAAGGGAGAGTAGAGATTAAAAGGATAAAGGCGCAGAAAGGAAGAAAGTAACGGTAATAAATTAGGGAGGGAAAATGGATTGATGAAATGATATTAACTTCTTAGATATTAGAAATTAAGATAAAATAATGGATGGAGGCGTGGAAGTTGGTGGCTAGAAAGAAAGAAGTAATGTCAACAGGGGGGAAAAAAAACGAACAAAGAGGTGATGATATCCCTGAAATAATGTCCAGCTCAGTATCCATTAGTAGCGCTGTTTTTAGGATGATTGGCTAATCCATCTCATTACTGCTGTCAGGGAGCCGGAGGATGCACTCTGCTACTAAAGGGTGCAATTCAGCCAGTCCTGATTACGTTAGGCGATGGCAGTTTATACTGCAGATGTTTATTAGAGCGGTGCACATGCAGCAGACAGACAGGCTGGACCAGAGCCCAAATATTTAAAACAGACTCAAGTGCAGTGTTTTCTGATGCAGTTAGTTAGTATTGCTGTTCTATTGGTGCACAAAACTATTTAAACTAAAGGTGGGTTTGTTGAGGCTGACCACAGAGAGTAATGTACTTTAGTGTGTGTTTGTGCATAAACTTATCAGAAATCTGTAAACTGAACTTAACACAGATGCAATTACAAAAACAACTATTTTTATAGGATGCAGTCTAATTGAATTTCCATAATAAATATTGATATTATTTGGGAGTAGTTGTTTAGAATAGCTTACATTACTGTATGCTTAAATAGTTCAGCCTGTATGTGGTCAGTTGTGTAGAGACATACTGTATATTGATGTAGCTCTGTGAATGTACTCTTTATTTAATTAAAAAACGTGCCATGGGGCTTTTTTTCACCACAAGTAGCTTGTTCCAAAAATGTGGGCGATGTAAGACACATTCCTTTTTTCTCACTTTTCTTGTCGGTTGGTGGCAAAGACGCGCAAAGAATTGTGGCAGCAAATATCGGAAAAAAATGCAAATGTTTAAAATTGACTTTGTAAATGTAAGATGCACTCACATTTGTTAGATCTCTCTGATGCATTTTGGTGAGAAATACTTAAAGTAAACATTACTTTGTGTGCAAGAAAACTCCACTATGTTCACCTTTAAATATTAAGAAGATTTTCAGCAAGGAAACTCTGAAGACACCTATTTTACCAGAAGTAGCCACTGATACATACACCTTCTGATGATCTGACCAACAGTTAATGTTGGTGAAAATACTTAACCCATAACCCTGTACACTTTATTCCCTTGTGCTAAGCATAGAAACTGTAAATATTGAATTAGGATATTATCCCGACAGATCTTTTTATAGCTACGGCACAAAGACATGGAATATCTGTCCGTAGATTCTGCTCCACCTTAGCTGTATTTTTGGGAGATGCAATCATTTCCGATCCACCCTAAATCATGTAGTTATCTCTAAAATAATCTCCTTTATGACTGATGTGTTATAATAATGAATAATGGCTTTCACTTCATCTAAATCAGGTCGGAGAAAATGTCAGTCGGTCCCTTATATTTTGAACGTTCAATGTATATTTAGGGACCGTAGGTTCCAACAAGAGGCCTAGTGTGTGCCTGTAGGCAGCCACGGCACTTGAAAAAGCAAATCGCTGGTGGTGAGATCACTGTTGGGGAGGTGGTGGAGTGCTTCATTTGCATTTTGAAAAGAAACATAGCCAAACACTGAAAGACAGCCAATTTTCTCGTCACTAAAAGCAGTGGACAGGTGAAAGAAGACCTCACCCTCTTACAAATGGTCCTAAAAAAAAAATCTCTCTTTTCAGACCCTGATGGAAATCCGTCCCGATTTTACCTCCCCCGCCACAGAAAAATAAAAGAAGAAAATTGAAAAGACCTAACCCGTCCTGTACTTTGAGGATTGTGAATAGAGTGCCCCGCAGCCTGCCTGCCTGCCCCACATACGGTGGCTGAATACAAAAGACCCCCCTCTGTAAGAGCAATCACTACGGGAGACCACTTTATCTGCACCGCTGCAGCGACGGGTCTCAATGAAGCCGTCAGCACAGGCTCTACTGTCACACACGCATGTGCACACACTCACAAACACAAAGACAGGCTCCATGCATGTCGCCATTTATTTCTTCAGCCCTTATAGCCACAATGGAACACACACACAAACAACCAGTACTTTCAACCCATTCCCCTCATGGCCGATGCTTTCTTTTCATCTTCCAGTGCCGGGCAGGAACAGGGAGGGAGATGAGTGGCTGGCGCTGATTTGAATATTTGAATTATTTATTACCAGAGAGCATTGAGATCCAAGGCATACCAGGGGACGCGAGGGAGCCGGGTGAGGGTGAATCTAGCCATGTGTGGATTTGATAGTGTGCCGTTATTGCCTCGGGGGACACTGGAAAGTGGGAAAAACATGGCCACAAATGCAGATTTTGCTGGTTATTCTGCTTCAGTAATGAATCAAAATGTTTCATGTGCATTTTTAAGGCTGAGTCTGTGTTGTAATGCCAGACTGCTGTAGTCTCTCAGGACATTATTGTAAATACGGCATTAATAAAACGTTCAATGTTGATCATCTTTACATTTCAATATATGTGTATTGCTCTTGTATCCCGAGTCCCCCCGTCGTCATATCATACTCCGCACTGTACTGGGACTGTAAAACGTTTTGTGAATAATAGCTCACTGTGAAATTACAGGAAAAAAACTGGATGATGTAATGCATCGGTTCCTTAGAAATATCAGACGAGGGAGAGTTCCCCTTTGGCTTGTTGCAACTCAGAGCCTGAGAAGCACACTTTCAAAGAACAATCCTGGGAAATGAGGGAATTTACTACAGCTCATGTGATGACAGGGCTGTTGAAGGAAATTACATTTAGATTTGGATTAACACATTGAGCAATTCTCGCTTTAACACCAGATTCGTCTGATTCATATTTTTTCCGCGGTGGCAGTCTTTCCCTTTCTACCTTTGCTGCTCTCATGCTGGGTACAGGCTGGCAGCTCGATCTCTCCCTCCCTCTTCTTTATGCACTCAGCACTAAGTTGCAATCTCTAGACAAAGGAAGTCCTCGGCTGGCCCCGTGTCGCTGTCTTTTCCCTCTCTGGTGCGCCGTGCACGAGAACAGATACAACACTGATGGTAATCAAGCCCTGAGAACAGAAGATTGCCTTTAGGCCAGTGTGATCAAATCTTGGAAACCTTTTATTGTTGGCTTTTATAATGATTCAGTTTTCCTCTCACTGGAAGGTGGTTTGAAATAACTTTTTCTTTCTTCTTTGTTGCTCCAGTACCTGAGTATGCTTGGTCCTCATTAGGTGACATTGTCTACAGCTGAGTGTCGTTTTTATGAAGCCCTTTAACCTTTTTACATCAAGTTACTATATTATTTTAAAAAAAAATTTTCCGTCGGTGTGTAATATTTATGCCAGCTTTATCTTCCATTGTATTTATAATACTGGATCTTGTGGGGGGATTCTCCCACCCGACTCTGAGTTGTTGTAGCTGCCATCCATCACTCTCCATGTGGTGAAGCTCATTTGTTGCAGCCTGTGAGTGTACACGAACGAGCTTGTGTCCCCAGTAATGATCCCCTAATTATGAGAATCCACAGCAGCCTCGGGGTGTGAAACCACCTGAGTGTGTGTGTGTGTGTGTGTGTGTGTGTGCGGAGGTACCTGTGACATATGTGCATGCTGCGAGTGTGAGAGAGAGCAACAATGCACACGTCTGTGCATTTAATCACACACTCTGTGGCCCGTTTATTACATTTTACAATTACAACTTTGTCTAATTTCAGATTTGATTTGAGAGGAAACGGTGCATAGTTACAAAATAATTTCATTTCAGGTTAATAGCAGACCACCTCAAGGTGTCACTCAGAGAGAACCAGGACATTCTGATGTAGCATTTCAAAATTAAAGCTGAAATGTCATTCATGAGCATTTGGTGTCCTCATTGCATTTGTCTATTAAATTTCACTCATGACTGGATCATCAGCAATGTGGAAAACATATTATTCCATATGAGGCCATGCTGTACATACTGTGTGTGTCCAATAAAAAAAAAAAATGTATATATATATATATATATATATCTCTATATAAAATACTTCAATTGTGGTGACCTTAAAACCCAACTTTCCCAAACCAATTTTCATTTCATGGTTTTGTTTTTTTGGCCCACAGCTTTACTTTTCTAAAAACGATCCAACATAAAAAATAAAGAAATACAGCCATTCATTATGTATCACATTGAAGATATTATTTCATGAACTTTATGGTTAAGATTCTATTTTTCTGCTCCTTTAGCCGAGCCATTAAGACCAACCAGGACCTTCTTCCTGAGACTCCGTGGACCAACATCCTGTCTGACGACTTTTGGGGCACCCTGCTCACTCACAGCGGCAGCCACAAGTCCTACCGTCCGCTCTGCACCCTCTCCTTCCGCCTCAACTACACCCTGCATGCCCTGCGTCCCTGGGGCTACCACCTGCTGAACGTGGTGCTGCACGGGCTGGTCACCGCCCTCTTCACGGCCTTCAGTCGCCCGCTTCTCGGCGGAGGACTGTGGAGCCTGCTGGCCGGCCTACTTTTTGCCTCTCACCCGGTTCACACTGAAGCGGTCGCTGGTGTGGTTGGGAGGGCGGACGTTGGCGCCGCACTGTTCTTTTTGCTGTCTCTCCTCTGCTATGCGAGGCACTGTGGACTTCGCAGGGACCCACGTGGGACTTTTCCGACCAGGCGATGTGGCGGCAGCTCAGTCAGCTGGTGCTGGGGCTGGATGCTGGGCAGCCTGTGGTGTGCGGCAGCCAGCATGCTGTGGAAGGAGCAGGGGGTGACGGTGCTGGCCGTGTCGGTTGTGTACGACCTCTTCGTGTTCCAGAGACTCCGGTTGCGCCAGGCGCTTCTCCTCCTGCTAGGAAAGGTAAATTAATGCACGCCATGCATGCCACAGGGGCCGGCATGTTCACCGGCTCTTGCTGTCTCCACCAGTTTCCTCTTCATTCCCCCAGAGGCATTCCTCATCCAGCCAGCTGTTGTGGTTCCTGTATGGTGGATTAAGTTGTGTGTGTGCATGCTGTTTGCTTTTCATTAGCAGTGTAATTAGGAAAGCTGTTTGCCAATGCGAACCGCACAGTTGGTGAATGAAAAGTAAGCCATTGTCATTTGTCATCTGCTAAACAGGAAGGAACTATGTGCACAGGGGAAGTTTTCCACTTCCTCGCAACGCTGCCACCAACTTCAGCTTGCTGCAGTAAATAGATGCACATTAATGCAACGGAATTTAGATGAGGGTCTCAGCCTTATTATGTTTGTTTCAAGGAAAAAAAAAAAAAAAGAGCAGTAGCACAGGAAAAGCTATTTTCAGGACGAGTTGGTTTTTTTGTTCAGTATAAGGTGACAAAAGGTAGGTGCAGAAAAACAATAACACGTCCTAGCTGCACAAACAATGTACACACACACTATTCTTCTTCCCCGTCAAACTCAAGTTGTCTGAGGAGGACAACCTTGACGCAGTGGCTCATCTGGTTATGGGGATCAGTGTTTGACTGGAAACGCTCCTCTCATAGGCAGTCTACATTTGATTAGAGAAACTGCTCCTCAGCCAACATGATGGCCCTCGTAAAATGCATAACTAGCGTAATAAAAAGTCCCCTTGGGTTTACTGAGCAAGGACAGTCTGGCTCTCAATGGTGTGTGTGTGTGTGTGCATGGGAGTCTTTTTATATATAATCTATAAATACCTTTTTTTATAGCCAGGTTTGTGACGTAACCTTGCATAGCTCATCACAAATGTCCTATGGAACTTTTCTGGTGCATGCAAACTACAGCCCAGAACAGACTTACCCAATCTTATTTGCACAGCCAGCCTCTAAATGAAAACACGTTCTACCTTCAACTGTGTAAGGCTTTACCGTACCTGTTGGGCAGCTTCTCCTGTTTCTGGTAGAATGATAACTCACAACTGTTATTAGTGAGTGGGCCAGAGTGCTCAGGGAGGGGAGAAAGAGGGAGTTATGTTTTCTCTTCTCTGTGCTAGGCATAAGTGACTCACGCATATGAGTGTGTGTGTGTGTGTGTGTGTGTGTGCTTTCACAACTGCAAGACCATCCAAAACAACACCTGTCTTCCAAATTGTACCCAGTCATTTATTAGATCTGCTCAATCATGTTGTGTATATTTTTGCAGCACACTAAAAGTATGCAACTCTTTTGCAGATGATGAAGCAGACAAATATTTGATCTGGATTGCCAGAAAGAGGGAGAATGTAGAGTACAAAAGAAAATGGGACCTATTTTCCACTTCTCAATCAATCTCTTTCCTCCTGAATGTTTTTTAATCTGCCAAAGTCAATAGCCAGAGGAGGAGCACCAGTTCTCAACTGTGCAACTGAAGATCAAGATGTCAGATATGATTGAGTTGTACTGGCTGACCCACAGATGAGACAGTGGGGTTTAATTGCCCATGTCTTAGACAGCATCTCAATTTAAATTATAAAAAACAAAGAAATATTGAAAAAAATCAAAATTGACTAAAATGTCAAACCCTCTTAAAATGTAGTATTTTTCAGGATTTTATTGTATCATAAGGCATTTACATTGTTTTGGTCTGGCCCTGTATAAAAAAAGAGAGTCGAGACCGAGCCCAACCTGAGAGACATCCAGCACTTTTTTCCAGTCTGTTGCATTACGGTCTAAAAGATTTCATCACCCTCAGTGCTCGTCAGAAGCCATTATGAAAAATCCCATTTCCCTGTGTGTTTATCACACAGGAGAACACAGGAGAGCAGAGATATCAGCAGCAGCCTCCGCCTCTCTGTCCAGACACAATAGGCCTGGCTGACATCCCTGTGCCAGCCTGTCAGGTCCCGGTGCCAATCCCCCAGCGCCCCACTGCTGCCTCCAGCACATCTGGCTCGTTTATCACTCTGGCAATGCCCTCCTCTATTGCCCCGGTCACAGCTATCTTGGCAGGGAGCTCGTTATGTGCTGGGGGCCAGCAACGGGGGCAATCTTTTCCTCGATTATGAGCCTGACGTCTAAAGGACGCATGGGAACACAAAAGGCAGAGGGAGAGAGAATAAGAGAAGGAGAGGGAAATTATGCCCTCACTTCCTGTCCTTTATCTGGTCTTGGGTCTTTGTCGCCTACTGTGCCCTAAAAGCACTTTGGGAATGGACGACCATGGCGTCTGCTGTATCACCATCTGCCACTGAAGCACACTGTCAGTAGCCAGCCATTGAATTTGATGGTAAGACGGAGAGGTTGAAAACATTCTCGCTGGAGAACAATGCAGCACGTGCTATTTTCTATTTAAATAAAAAAAAAATGTCCCATTTCTTCCACAATGAAGCAAAAGATTGGAACATCACGTTATCTGACCGCTGCCTCACAGCAGCCACACACAATAAGGAAATGTAAATCAGCTGCTGTGGAGAGAGCAGGAGACAGATGCGCTTCGCTTTGGCCGGCACTCCATTTCTCATCCTATTAACTCCCTAATCAGACTGAGATGAGATTTGAAATGAGACGAGGTAGAGCGGAGGGAGTGTTGGATGGAGACAAAGAAAGGTGTGGCGTTAGCACTGCAGCCTATTGAGAAGGCAGAATGAGTCTCGCATGCCAGGATCATAAGAACATTGTTCTTTTCCACTCCAGTTTGTCAGTGGCTAAAACAAACAGGTTGATGAATGAGGCTCCAGGCTTCAGACAGGTCCAGGGAAATAGTTTGCTTTTGTTGGTATTAGGGAGGGTCACATCTCTCTGCTAAGCCCGAGGTAAACTGTGAAACTTTGGCAGGCAAGATTGATTTCATTGAAAGATGTTTGTTTTAATGTTGAGCAAGGATTTCAAGCATTTACTTGACAGAATAACAAAGGCCAGTGATTAGACCCTGTGTTGAAAGCACTAAATCAAAAGGTGTGGAACATAGTTCCTCAAATAATCCTCCATACGCCACACTTTTTAGATTTCCATTTGACTTGAGGCACATGGGCATTAGAGGGATTTTATTGTGTTCTTAAAGTGGTGCCTACTCCTCCTCCCCGTTTGCCTCAATGAGCGCTGCAGCCTCGCAAAATTAAGTTCAGCGTAACCAGCTGACTGTTTGAGGGATGTTGTCCCAATTATCTCGAAGCAAAAGCATTCAGCTGTGAAATGATGCCCTCTGTTGCACGTTCTGCTGCATGCTCTTTATTTATCTTGGGAAATAGGGAATGGTCAGACTTTTTGGCAAGAGCATTGTCTTATTTCTTATCCTAAACATATCTTACACAAACTATTATAAATGCAAAAACTTGCCAACACTGACACCAAGACAAAAATCGGGTTTGTGATCTTAGCCACTGGTGACGCATATGTGGATCCGGACACAAGACTTTGAAGTGTAAATGGACTTGATCTGTTTGTGCAAGTGGTTCTTGCATGAGACCCGTGGTATTGTTGAACCTGGAACGGTATTTTAAGATAATTATCCTCAATAGCACAAATTAGTAATTACAACAAAACGAACAAAGCTGTATGACATTTGATCAAGATCATCAAGGATCCTCATGTCGTCGTGCAACCCCTTACACAGTGATGTCGCTAAATTAGTCAAACAAGGAAGCTCTTTAAATGTCAAGTTAACACCACCAGCGCCCTCCGCTTTCATCAACTGTCTTGGTGGACAGCACGCGAAGGCTTTAACCTGTGACCCGTCTCATTACAGTTCCCTCTGCCAGCAGCAGCTGGGCTTTCATGGATAGAACTAATGGGGTAATTAGGTCACTCTATCAAAGTCAGCCCTCTCAATGCCAGCCAATGCTGCTGTCTGATGACTCTGGTGAGTTGCGCCAAGTCAGCAGAATCCGGTACACATTAGAGAGTTGGAAAAAGAACTGGATGCATGCCTCATTGTACCTTTCATCCCAATTTAACACGTCACTGGTAATGCATCAAATATGAGCACGGCTGGATGTGTGCTGTGCAAACACGGGGTGTCCAGCACTTTGAAGGCCTTTCCATGCACATGTCAGTGAGAAAGAATTGCTCCACAGTAGGGGGATGTGGCCCCCACCTCAACTTGAACGCAAGAAAAATACACCTTTTAATATTTAAATAATCTTTTAGTTGTAATAAGTAGCGTAGGGAATTAGACTTTATGGTTGGCATGATAGTTGTTGTTTAGTTTTATCTATATTTTGGAAATACAAGAAATCTTAACATTTTCAAAATAGATTGTGGAGCATAACAAGATCTTGATCTAAATTTCTTGAACAAGTGGGTGAAAGCCCATGCATGATCAGCCCTGTGTGCTGGAAAGAGTTACGGGAGGTTCGAATTGGACATGACTTTAACAAGAAAAGTCCGGAAGATTGATCCCCTGCTGTCCTGCGTCAGTCCACAGCAGCTTTTAACAGTGCGCGTATGAACTCAGCCGTATCCTGCTGTTTCTTCAGGCGTGTTTTAAACACTCTGCACGCTACAGTGTCAACAGGCGGACCACACACTTCTGGGATTAATAAAACGAGAGCTAATAATGAATGGCACCGTTAAAAGATGAAGGCTTGGGAGCTTAATACGGTGTGTTTATGTGCGGAAAGAGAGCGACGGAGAGAACGAGAGATGGGTCAATTCAGGAAAAAAAAGTGGATAATAAACTGAAAGTGGAATAAAAAGTAGTAGGGGGAAAAACACAGAAATGGACGCTGAATTTCCAAATGAGGATCCAAAGTGGAGGAGATATGTGGAAGGTTCAAAGGCTTGGAGCGAGCGGGATGTTGCGTTTGACAGTTGGCTGGGGATTATGCCAGCCGTCCTCTATGGACACACACAGATCACATGAAGGCAAATCAATCATAACAAAAACATGTTCCCAGGGATTTAAGTTACAGTAAAGCTGAAATCAGTCAAATTAGAAACAACCTGAAAGTACATACAGAAAGTACCCCCTTGGAATTAGCTATTGTGGCTAACTGCGTTTAGATTTCAGTCCGGGACAACTTGCCATATAATACATTTTTTGCCAGACTTTGTTTTAGCACATGCCATAGTTACAATGGCCACAAATAAGGAAATATAATATAGAAATCCTTAAATTTGACTTATTTTATGTTCTCTTGTTGAAGCCAAAAAATCTTCCTGATCATATTTGGCTGGTGTAAAAAAAAGAAGGAAGTGGCTATCATGAATTTGTCAGATTTTTCTTTTTACTTACAAGGAGATGCAGGAGCAGAATAGTCCTCCCTTGTTGTAGAAGTCTGGCTTGTCAAACACAGGTGTGACTCGTAACCTTAATTAGCTCCACAGAGCAGGGTCATCGTTAATGTGATTAGTTCCACCTGTGCTTCTCCTGCCAGGAGTCAGAGAGTGCACCAGGAGAGAGGTCCAAGAAATATCTAGATTCTAGAGTTTAGTTTGTTTTCAAACTTGATAACAAGAGCAGATTCATAGATACCTGTGAGAGCTGTACGTGCCCATTTTATGATTTATGTAGACAATATTATTTTAGTTTTAAATCACAAAGCCAGTTAATTTTAAGAGCTGTATTAGTCAGAATAGTGCCCTGCCAATAATCCTCCGACCATAAAATGACAATGTAAGCTGGAATTGTTTGGAAAGTCAATGAATCAACAGTTCAGAAGAGAGGTTAAAGGACTTTTTGCAGCAATTATAGGGTGTAGTTTAGTATGGAATTATTCAGTTGTTGGGTTATTGAAGATCGATTTTCAACCGACAACAGAAGACTACTGAACCAGCAATCCTTTCACTTCAGTCCTGGTTCATCAATGTGTTGCTTCTAAAAATCACACAAGGGATTGGTGTGTCAAGTTGGCCAGACAATCTACAGTTATTCACTGCTGAGTTTGTGAATTCATGGTCATTCATCCTTCAAAAGCAGATCCAGCCTCCTTCCTCGCATGCTTGCAGGTGAGAGTTGTGTGATCGATCGGGAAGTCAGTTCAGGAGCGATTTAGAAATAGACAAGGCAGTGAGGGGTAAAATGAAGCTCATTCACCTAAATACCACAAATGACTCTCTTGCTGCAATTGGCTCATCTTCTGATGCCAAGCAGAGTTGGATTTCTCAGACAGTTTCCTCCCTTGATAGGCAATGTGGGCTATCCATCAATAAGCCCCCCCGTTGTGTAAGAAGCACTCTCTCTTATCCTTTCTTTACTGCCTTTCAGTATGCAAATCAATATCCAATTTTTTTTCCACTCTCACTTTCCCACCGCTCATCCGAAATGTTGAACTCCTGGAACTGGCCCTATTCCATCTCTCTATCGACAAGTGGCTTTCTGTGACTAGCTGTGTCTACACTGCCTCCCTCGGCTAACCTCATGAGGGAACATGCTTTTTCCATGTGAGATATGCAGGAATCAGCTGGAGCCAGTCGGTCACGGGAATCAATGCTAAACCTCTTCTAATCCTAACATGGGTTTGTTATGGTTAACTTGTTGTTTTCCATCATGGTTCCTGAAAGTGGGCACGGCCTTACTCCAGCATGCTCATTGTACGAGAGGGAGTATTTTCTCTCAAAAGTGTATTAATGAGACAAATGAAAGCTTGTTCTTTGTGCTCTGTGCAGCTATTATCTGCCTATTGTGCAATTCATTCAGCGCGGATTATACAGAGAGCGTAAATTATTACTGTAGTAGAGTAAACTCAATTAGGAGATAAAAAGAAAAGTCGGGCTACACTGGATCAAACTTTGAGTTATAGAAGACATTGGAGGACATCAAAGCCAATACAACGACAGACTACTTATATCCTCCTGTGCTGCACTTTCATACCAAACAGTATGAACAGCAATTCAATTATGAAAGTATGCACTTGTGCATGTGCACACACACATCTAATTCCCCCCTGTGCAGGTTCAAATACAGTTCATATTGCTCTGAAAAAAATAAGTGGGCTCAGAAGATAGGAAGTAAGCAGCATCTCTGTGCTCATCACTCTTGATGTTATGTCGCTTTTTTAGTCAGGACTGCGGCCGCCTGTCTCTGTCAATAAGCCTGAATGACATTTTAGTTTAAAGTTAAGGAAAGACATTTCCCTCCCGACCGTCAACGATGAATGTAATTCAACAAGACCACTGATCAAAAGTCAAGGATGTGATCGCACAACTGTATCTCAATTTATGCATCAAAGACTGATTTTCCTGAAGCGTCACCAACCAAAGGTTCTCTATGTTTCCTTCCAAGTATGTATCAACACCATCAGGAGTTTAACAACATTCAGTTTAGGCCACCGTGACAACCGGTTGCGTGTGCCAGTTGGTTTAAAGGTGTTGCGTGATAGAGGACCTAATAGTGATCATGCTGCAGAATTAATGCTCTTATGAGATGCAAACAGCATCTACAGTACATACCAACACAAGAAGTGTTAAGCTGATTAGCAGTCACACTCACTGCAACCCTGGCAGGCAACAAGGAAAGTCTTAGAGAAATCCCCTCGTGCTTGAAATGAACTTCAAAGTTGACCTCAACCAGGTCAGAACTGAGGCGAGTGTGATTTACTAATATGTGGAAAGTTGTAGTAATAATCTTTACTTCGCATCTTTGTGGAAGTATGTTGATTTCTTTCTCTATTCTATGTGGCTCTTCACTTTTTACACACAGCTTATTGGCAAACCAAACGTGAAATTCAATATAATGAATCTTCCACCAGTTTGAACATCACATATCCCATTTAAAAAATGATTACTTCTTAATGTAAATAGTCACATTGTGGCTGACCCATTACAGCGCCCAGCTGTCCAAATCCCACTGTGTCTTTCATCAGCACGAATGTTATGTTTCACTATTTTAATGTAAGCCGAGCTGTGTTGTTTCTGGCTATGATGAATTTTGATTTTAAGAAGTATGCTAGTTTTTTCAAAGAACTGTATAGTTGTACGTGAGTGTGGTCTATGCCCCAGGAAGCTATCAAAAACATTCCAGAGATTGCCTTACACAGTTTCTCTTTCTATAGGGGATAGTGGGATCATACATTTACAAGCTTTTTCTTTATTTCAAAGGTGGCTTTATAAATCAAACCCTAAAAGCTCATACCAAAGGACTGAAACATCCTTCTTAATAACTTGTTGTCGACAGTGACCCCTAATACATTAATAGGACCATTGTTGCTCTGATTCAGCTCTCATCAAGACCGTGACAGTTATTGAAATAGCTTTGGAATGCTGACAAAACATTGCGGCTTTGACTGAGCTCTTCTGGACTAAAATGTTGATTTAGGTGTTTTCCTTTAGCATGACTTTTTCACTCTCTCCTCTCTTTGCAGAAAAAGAACGTCAGTGTTTTGCTGAGTCTCGGCGTCCTGGCTTCCTGGGGAGTGATCCTGCTGTCTGCTCGCCTCTACTGGATGGGTAATAAGCCTCCCAACTTCTCCAACTCTGACAACCCTGCGGCTGACTCGCCACATTTTCTCACTCGAACACTAACGTTCCTTCACCTGCCGGTCGCCAACGCCTGGCTGCTCCTCTGCCCCGACAAGCTCAGTTTCGATTGGTCCATGGACGCTGTGCCCTTGGTCAGGTCCTTGGCCGACTGGAGGAACCTTCACACTGTTGCCTTTTATGGTGGATTTGTCCTCCTGAGTTTGTTTGGCCTCCGCGGCCCCACCTCCACATCCAAGGAGACCAATGGGAAAGCCTATGTCACTAATGGGAAATCAATCACCAATGGGAATGGTTACCATGCCCCTGACACAAACCATAACACAGACCAGGGGCCACCAAAGACCACCCTTAACGGGTCAGCTGGAGTCCACCACTTCCCTCCACGGACGTCCCTGCCCCCCACAGAAAACCTAGTACTATTATCATTAGGGATCGTCTCATTGCCTTTCTTCCCAGCCACAAACCTGTTCTTTTATGTAGGTTTTGTTATTGCAGAGAGGGTACTGTACATCCCCAGTATAGGCTTTTGTTTACTGGTTGCTGCTGGTGCAAGAAACTTGTACGTCAGACTGAGGACTAGAGGCTGCAAGGCCTTCATGTTGTGTCTCTGTGCGGGACTAGTGCTGCTGAATGGACTCAGAACTGTTCAAAGAAACAGGGACTGGAGCAACGAGGAGAATCTCTACAAGTCTGGGATTAGTGTGAATCCTGCTAAAGGTAAGAGACGGGCGGCAGTCCTCATTAGGGATGGGTATCAAAGTCCCGCCCCTTTAAGGGGACAACCATGGGACCTTATTTTGGCATGCAAAATTATCTTTTAAATTATCTTTTTGGTCAAGCACCAAATCCATTTAAAGCAATACAGTATAACTTGTGAATAAAGAAACAACACATTGTTCTTCTTGCAAATGAAATGTTACATTCATAAGCAACAAAACACACAGTTGTTCAATTGAATACATCCTAACATCTCTGCTTGGGAAACGTTTGCGTATATTTGTCATTTGATTAACTAATTTATTCTATTCTAATTTGCTTTGTTATTTTTATTTCAGCAAGTTTGATGGCAATAACACTTTTTAAATGAATACCAACGTTGTGTATTTGCGCTCTGAAAGTGCAACTTTTGACTGACACATGTCTCCTGTAGCCTGGGGAAACTTGGGGAACGTACTAAAGAACCAGGGCAAGATGGCGGAGGCAGAGAAGGCATACAGAAACGCTCTGCACCACCGAGGGAACATGGCCGACATGCTGTATAACCTGTGAGTGTTAAAAGACGCCTGCTCCCCCGTCCTCCTGTTTGCAAAGTCCTGAAACGAACGGGTTCCGATTCCTCCCGTTCATCGCTTGAGATTGCAGTGGCAGAACAAGAAAGGCAGAAGGGAGAAAGTGAAACAGCATACCGAAAGAGAGAGAGAGTGACAGACAGGGAGATCTTAAAGACAGCAAAAATAGATCTAACGCATGAGGAAAAGAAGCAAGTGAGACTCGGAGCTCAAAGTGTGATGCAATAGTGTGACGAATAGGAAATAACCTTGTGTGTCCATGGTGGCTCTTTGTACCTTCTGCTGCCTTGGTTTGCAGGGCCTGTGGGGGGGGGGGACACAAGGCCGCCTCCAATCCTGGAACACAGGGTGTTAAAGGTGCCAAAACCTCATAGAAGACCCATGTCTCTCATGCTGACACTGTTTTTCTCCCCACTTCTCTATTCCCTCTCAAGTTACGGGTGTCAGGAAGCTGGCAACGCAACATGGGAAAAAGTGAAAACCTATGCATGGTGTTTTTTTATTCTTTGAAGCTGAGGTGCAATTTCAATATTATGGATGGTCGGATATATTGGGGGTCATGCGTTGGTATATTGGGTAAATGATACAGTAGCTGCTCTAGTTTTGGCTGTTTTATTTCTCAGCTTTCACCCAAAGTCCCCTCATCACTTTGACGTGCTGTAATTTTGGGTAAAACCTTCACAGATTTAAAAATGCCAAGACAAATCCTAGGTTATGCAGTTAATGGCGTTGTAAAAAGTGTCACATTTTTGCATTTCTTTGTGTCTTTTAGTGGCTTGCTGCTGCAGGAGAATGAGCGTTTTTCTGAAGCACTGCATTATTACAAACTGGCGATTGGGAGTCGGCCAACACTGGCATGTAAGTAAACTAAAAGTCTCAATTTGTGGCTGTGGTTGAGATCAGGGGAAGGAGTTATAAGCGATTCGATTTTCTCTCTCATTGATTAACCAGATATGAGCCAAGGGCCGTTATTGGATCACCATCATGGTCCAATTTGAGTGCTGACTAAGACCTTCTTTTTCCACATACTCATTTGGGGGGCCGTATTCAGGCTATTTCAGCTTGACGGTGAAATGATGAGATTCAATCTCACACTTGAGTGCCCGCATGTGAGATGAGGGTTTGTCTCTTACTGTACCAAGGACAATTTTTATGAGAGAGGACAGGACAGGTTCCAGAATGCTTTTTCAACTTGATAAGTTATCTTCACTTCGTCCTTCGCTTCATCTTTTTTTTTCAGCATCATTTATTTCTATTTCTCACTCACTTTTCTTATGGTAATTTAACCTGCGTTTGACCTCTGTGCTGTCTCCCTTCTGCTGTATTATTGCATTTCCATCTTCCCCGACTGGATGTGTGAATGAATCAGAGTTTTTTAGTTTAACAACATCAGAAATTACTTTATTTATTTGTTGGGATTGTATTGTTCTTCTGTTTATTCAAAGATCTATCAGGGAATGTGTGAGTGACAGCCGGTTCTACTCCTGTGGTTTGAAATTGCATTGGCATGTTGTGCCATTTAATTAATTTCCTCTCTTCCTCACAGCGGCCTACTTGAACACAGGAATCATCCTGATGAACCAGGGCAACCTGGAGGAGGCCAAACGCACCTTTCTGACTTGTGCCGACATTCCAGATGAGAACTTGAAGGACCCCCACGCCCACAAGACCTCCGTCACCAGCTGCCTGTACAACCTGGGAAAACTGCTCCATGAACAGGGCCAGCAGGAGGTTAGGACTCAAAGCTCAACCATTTAATATTGAAGTCCCTCATCTTTATTATGCTGACGCAAAGCAAAAACTGCACTGTTTACCCCTACTTCAGGAGGCGCTGTCTGTTTATAAGGAAGCGGTACAGAAAATGCCCAGACAGTTTGCACCGCACAGCCTTTTCAACATGATGGGTAAGTTACTGCTGGAGCGTGTTTCACCCTGAGTCTTTGTTTGTAATGCAGAACTCAAATTGCAGTATAAAAAAAATCACTACTTGACGATATCTGCTTTGAAATGAAATTTGATATCAGTGTTTTGATGAGGTCACTCAACCATTTGATACGTATAATTATAAAGAACAACATCATGCTTGTTTTGTGACGCGAGTACAACCTGGTGCAAGTTTGGCTTGAGTTTCAGTGATTCATTTTTACATGTTTGTTTCCATTGTAGATGTTGGTCTACCATTTCATCTGCGCTTTGAATTGAATTCAACAAATTGAGATTAACTCGCTGCCAAAATAAACCTTGAGAGGACTTGGACCACCTGTTTGATTCCAACACTGCGCAGACGTTGTGTCCTTCTTGCAGAGGATTAAAGCTAATCCGTGCAATAAATCACATCTCTCTCTTTGTTATTTTAACACTAATTACATTATTGGAAGCTCATCCTGATGGCACGGTTGAGATTGCAGGGAGATGTCTGCATATGTTCCTTGGACAAGCTAAATGAGAATGGGAAGTGTGTTTTGTCAGGTGGTGGGAGGGGTTGATGGAGGGCAGTGTTTGCATTAGTGTGATGTCCAGGGGCTTTGTTTAAACTGATGTCATTTTACCCCAGAGGGCCCACAGCATGTCCTCAGATCAAAAGGAATCTTAGAGAGATTTACACACAATTGTTCTTTCAGAAAAAAACGTTTTTTTCTAGGCTAAATTGATTTATTCATTCAGCGTTTGAAGACCTGCACCTGTTAGAAAAAGGTTTGGAGGATTTTTTTGAGAAGCTAGAAGCTGAAGTTTCAGAATGTATTTAGACCCCATTCACTTTTTGATTCAAATTTAAATTGATCAAATTGACATTTTTTCCCATCGATCTACACTGAAAAGACCATAATGACGAAGTGAAAATGACATAATAGTCAGACGTTTTGCTGTGGCACTCCAAATTGTTTGCAAAGGAACTTCCGTTACGTCTTTGTTGTCTTTGATGGACGATGACTTGGCTTACAATTGTCATTGAAAGACCAGGACACCACCTTGGTTTGGTCTTTTATGTCGAGGACACATAAATTAGCACAGACAAAGTTATGCTAATACAAATAGGGTAGCATTTCTACTGCAACACATTGAACTCAAAATGGACCACATTTGGTACATTAGGTGCCAATAGCCTCCAGAAGCAGAGAGTAAGTGTTGTAATAATACCGACATGTATTTCAGCTGTATTTTCTGCAGGAAATGCATATTTATGTTTCCTTTGATTCATTATCATCCCCCAAAACACAAATTGTGACTGTTGCTGTGTGCTGTGTTTCAGGAGAGGCCTACATGAGGCTGAACAGGCTGGAGGAAGCAGGTCGCTGGTACAAAGAGTCCCTCAGGGCCAAGCCCGACCATATCCCAGCCCACCTTACGTATGGCAAACTCCTGTCCATCAATGTAAGTCCCATTACTGACACACACACACACACAGTAAGAATCACGAGGCAAGCCGAAGCATTATCTTAGTAATGATTGCAGTGGCTAACTACCTGGCAGAGTGTAATTAAACGTGGAGCTGAAGTGGCAGAGTGGAGTGACGAATAATGCATACTGAGTGACTTATGGGAGCATAGCGATCGATTTCTTCCGCAGAGCCTGGAGAACTGTGATAATTGTTATGAGGTGTGAGCTTCTGACTCTGAAATATGCACGCTATACAAAGTCTTCTCCCCTGATCAGAAGTCAGCAAGAGGAATTGTGGCGCATTCATGAATATATCGTTTGACCTCAAATGCTACTCGTTATTCTCGTGGAAAAGTGGAAAGAAGACATGATGGAAGCGATAAATACTTCTTTTGTGGCCTTGAATCAACCCTGTTCCAGGACCAGTGCCAAACAGATGAGCGAACAGCCCAATCGTAGCGGCATAAAGTCATGTCTGAAGGTCACAGACATGGGGAGGAAAGCTATCCCTCTGTGACTGGACGGGTTCCACATCATCTGTGTGTTTTCTGTCTCTCACCGTGTCTATACATGTGAGTGAAGACATCGAGGGCGCCGCAACTTCTCTCAAATGTTACCTTGCCATTCCAATGTTTTTTTTTTCGACAGAAGAACTTCCCCTCTCCATCCTCCCACCATCGCTCCCATTCCATTGAAAACAAAAACACGTTTGTGTGACAACAGATTTGTTCACAGCTGCGTCACGTTTAGACGTGGGAGTTGAACTGTGTGCTCTCTGCGACCCCTCTAGAGATGTTTGACCGCCTCCCTTCCAACAGCCTTCGGGTGCTGAGGAAACCAACCTGCAGCGCCTCACTTGCAGCTGTAACCCTCACTGGCTGCAAACCTTAGTTCTGATCATTTCCTCTCTTTGTTTAAAGATTTAAAGATATACATAGCACACACACACACCACACGTAAAGCACAGGTTCAGATCAGTGGCTGGACATCTGCTGTGCTCCCTCAGGCTGAGGACTGCACATCCATGCAGGGCCCTGACTCTCAGAGAGGCCCGCTTCACTGCTACAGGGCTTAAGGAACAGGAGATTGGACGGACCCTGGACAACGGGCCAGTGGACAGGTTTATAATGCAATTACTCTCCTTCCTTATTAAATCACTCTCATCAGCTACGTTTTTGGCTGTCCTGCCGCTGTCAATGGACAATACAGACACGGAGAGGGAAAGGTCAACCTGAAGTCTTGTACTGCGGTTCACCCCAACACGTCCTGTAGGGCTGTTTTTCTTGAGTAGTATTACACATCAACTTTCAAAGTGTCCATCTCCCCCCCCCCCTTCTTAAAGCCACACAATAATAAAGCTGGAACCTGATAGTCTTGTGCCCATCCACATCCCTCAAGAAATAACAAGTGCACCTCCTGAAGCCACTAATTTGCCTCATTCTTCCCAAGGTCAAAGTGCTCTCAAATAGGCCGAGTGTAACATTAGAGCCCTGCTGTCTGTCGGAGATCTCTTGCTGGAGTCAGAAGGGTGTGGTGTGCATTAGGGAAAGTTGTGGTCAGTCGACACTAAGCTGATTTATTTATTTGAACTCAGCTGTGTCTTTAGACATATTCATCACTGATGCTCAATAATGCGAAAACATGATTACACAGCTTTAAATCCGTTTAAAAAAAAACATACCACAAAATTGTTTTTAGATAGTTGTTTGAAAAAAAACACAATTAACTTTGCCCTGAATGCTTTCATAAATCATTTAAATGATGACTTCCTCCGACCTAACTGGACTGAACCACTCTAATTTCAGTTCTGATGGATGTCTGAGGGGAAAGGGGTTAATTGAATGTAAAGAGAAAAGTGCCAAAGAAAATGTGAAATAAGCCATCGAGGCCCCGTATTCGCTCATTCATTTAGAGGGATGGCGGGCATGGGGGGAAAAGCTAATGAAGCAAATGTAATAGGCCCAGTCCTCTCATTTCATTGTGCATGGCAAGTCCATTGGCAATATGGAAGCAATCAGTGCTGAAGCATGAAACAAAAGAGGTGGAGAAATTGAGCCTCATGCACACAGAAGCTATATGTTCCACAGTGTGGTTGCAGGTACACACACACACACACACACACACACACACAACTTGGAGGTTTTTCTGTAAAGGTTAGGCATAGGAGGTGGGGTACTATATTCTTCATGAGCATCAGTTTCCTGCTATTACTAAGCCTCAACTGATGCATTAAAATGCCTCAAGCAGACACGGTAAAATACAAGGTAGGTTTTTGTAGCTGTGTGTGTCCGTTTACGCATTTGTGACACAAGATGTCCAGCTACACAGTATCCATGTTATGTGTTTATGCTGCACACTGTTGGTATTGACTCTGCGGTCCTTGTAGTCCAAAGCTGCAGCAGATCTCAGCAGTTTGCACTTCAGGAGGGCATCTCAAACATATGTTAACCCAGCTATTTAAGCCCCATTCCTTCTGGTTGCTTCAGGTGTTTGGACCCCGTTATACATCCCGCAGGTCTACTATATTTATATTGTGGTCGACAAAAAACCTTAGGTCAAAGTGTGTCTTGTAAAAAACTAAATATACTAAATAAATACATCAAAATGTTACAGGTAGCAAAACAAAATCTTGTGAAAACGATTCCTTAACTTGAATTGCAGGTGTAATTTCCTTCCTTTTTCTTTTAGGGGCAGAAGACAGAAGCAGAGAAGTACTTCCTGAGAGCTATTCAAATAGACCCGACGAAAGGAAACTGCTACATGCACTATGGTAAGAAGAGATATCAAAGGCAAACATTTTCTGCAAAGCCTGTTTGAAACATTAGAATCATAAAAATATAGATGCCTGTGTTCTCGTAAATGTCTCCTGTGGTTAGCAGAGCTATGAGAATATAATTTAAAGTCATTTTCGACCAGCTATAACATGCCTGATTGCCTGTAATTCAAACCTCTGCCATTCCGCACTTGTAGGCTTTACTGTAATGATCGGACTTTGCTGCAGTAAGCTGTACTCAGGATGATTATTAGGCAGGGGGTCTTTAGACTCTTTTATCCAAGACCTATACTTTGTAGTGTCTCCTTCAGACCCGGAGTCATTAAACACACCAGCTCCTCTTACGACTCGTGTTGTAAACCACCCTAGATCCAAGCTCATAGCTTATGTAACCTGATAGGAGTTTTGGAAAGAATCAAAGCAGCGTGGTAATCATTTGGAAGTGTCAAATACCCCTGTAACAGATTTGTGGACGTATGAGATCATGTCATTTACTTTTGGTATCAGTGCTGGGAGTGTTGGAGCTGCACACATGCAAGGCTATGTTTACCATTCGTAACGGAGATTGAAATGCCGCGTTCAGCCTGTGCTGCTCTTGACGCAGTATTTGGTATCAGTTAGGAGAAACAGGCTCCTTGCCGCTCCATGTTGCTATCGTCAGGATATTTATAGGAAATGAAATCTGTCCTGAAGGCACCATTGTACGTTGTCCCATTCTCCTCTTCCTTATCTCTCTCCGTTCCTCCTGGTGCTTTCTCTGCGCTGGATATCTCGGGGGGGTTTAGCTCTGGCCCCAGCGAGGGGTATGTTGCTGTCTTTGGACCAAGCTGTTTCCCCTTACACTCTTGATTCTCCCTCTCTGCCTCTCTGGCTATTTTCTTTTGTTCAACGTTATCTTGTAGCTTCTTGCTATAGGTGATGTGTAATATGCCGGTCCACCCTCCTTTATCGCAAATCTGGCTGCTTTGGCAACCCTGGGTCCACTGGATGAGCTCCAGGTGTTAGTGTGTAAGGAAGAGATGGTATCAGTCCACTTTGTAACACAACAGATGCACACATACGAGAGAGTGAAAGGAAAGCGAGGACACAGAGGGTGATAGCTAAGACAAGGCCCCCCTTTCCTGCCATTGTTCACAGTAAGTCATTTTAATGCAAACTGTCCCTCATATGAACCGGTTCTAAATAGCCTGCTTCGGTGTCTAATGGCTTGAATTTGAAAGCTGCGCTCAGGCGAATATAGTTATAGCTTTCAGTACAAGAAAAGCCAAAAGAAACGCTCCTCAATGGAGCTTCTCCGCATTCCGCTCTTCCTACATTCAGCAGCATCTGCGGCCGAGCCCGGCTGTTAATTTATAGCCGCTGAGTCAGGCACTTGCGGGTGCCGCACCAGGTGGCCGGACTCCCACAGGAAAACGCATGAAATACCTCCGTCTCATCTGTGCTCTCAAAAGTCGCCGAGCAAAACAACAATCCTTTCACTGTCTCACTTTTCGCTCGCTGTCTCTGCCTCCTCGTTGCATTTCCTGTGGCACTCTCCTGCGTCATTTATCTTCCTTTGTCTCCCCCAATGATCTCCATCTTTGTCTGACAGAGCTTCTCTACAAGCTTTCCCCCGTCTTTCTTGTCCCTTCAATGCAACTTCTTTCATTTTGCTCACAATGACAACGCTAACATGGTGATTTATAGCATCTATACCATTTGACCTGATGATGGCGCTGGATGAAAAGAGATATTACAGTTCATCCCGAGGGGGACATGGATGGATTGCCATGAAATTTGATCCAGACGTTCAACAGTTGTCGGCAATTCAATTACAACCAAAAGGGTCAATCTCATCGTGTCCCTCGAGGAGAATTCTGGAATCACCAAAATCATTTGGAATCATCATCTGGGGACCATCAATTACTGGCAAATTTCATCTAGTTGTTGAGATATTTCAGTCTGGACCAAAGTGGAGGACAACTGCCATCACTAAAGCCGTACCATGGCTAAAAAAGCACTAAACAGAACTTCTACTACGCCCAAGAAATACATGCTCTTCCTCTGTCTTCCCCTCTCTGCAGGCCAGTTCCTGCTGGAACAGTCTCGTCTTGGCGAGGCGGCGCAGATGGCGGAGAGAGCTGCAGAGCTGGACAGCTCAGAGTTTGATGTGGTCTTCAGTGCTGCTCACATGCTCAGGTTGGCTAAAGTGCTGACAGACAACCACACGGCTTGAAAGTGGAGTTTCCCCTCCTTCAAAAAGCATATAGTACAGAAAATGTAATTATCGTATATGTCAAGAGATGTCGAACTCCTGTATTTACAGACTTTGCCGCTTTCACCATTTGTGGGTTTATTATTTACCACCGCCATTTAATAACCGTCTTTGTAATAGTTAATGTATACTCTATGGAAATCGCTGCCATAAAAGCGATTATGTATTACATATCTAAGGAGCAGTATAGTTTCAGTCTATCATAGTGATGTTTCAGTCCAAGGCTTGTAAAGACGCCATTGGAGAATTTTCCCTCAAAGTTTGGCCAAGCACGCTCACAAGACAGCGCGCATAAGTCTTAATACGCGTCAACGGGGTCTGCAAATGTCCGTTCCTTTTTGCTCTACATATCTGGAGAAGTCATTACTGCTCTCTGGCATCCATCTAAATGCAACACCACAGAGGGTTTGTAAAAAGTTGAAAGTCTCAGGGTTTGGCTGAGGCTTTCTTTTGGAAAGAGCAAATCTAACTGACAGATCATTCTGCCGTATCGTGGTCTGAATGGTCGTTTTCAGCTGGAGACTGACTGAGACATCAATCCATACCAATTAGGATTTCGTTGAAGGAATGTGACACACCTGTCATTAGCTGGATTTCAAATTTAAGCTGCTCTGCTGATAATAAAGGTGAGCTCTGCATATTGACAGACCATAACCAGGATTATAAAAATGACCCGCTAAATCAGTTTTTCCTTTAAATGCCTTGCATGTACCAGGCCTACATTTCATTGCAGACAAACTCTTAATAATAATTCAAATATTGTGTATATGATTTCTCCAATAAAGCAGTTTTTACATGTTTTGGGTTAAACCATAATGCATGTTTTTTTTCTGCCCAGTTTTACTTCCCATGAACCCTGACTTCCTGAATCTTTATTTACTTTGCAGCACTTGACCAAACAAAACAAAGACCAAGGAAGCAAGCTATAAGATGATGACTATGATAGTCGGTCATGAACTCCACTGAACCCCTGATAAAGTGTTGCATGGATTCTCAAGGCATATTTTACTTGAGTCACACAGTCTTATAAATATGAATTGCCATGTCGGGAAAGCATGGTTTCTTTGACTTTATTAACGTTGGCACTGCAAAGTCCAGTTCATGTACTCTTTGGATAAAATTGTATGGAGCAGATTTAACTGTTGCATTTTATGAACCCAGCTGTAACATGTGACTGGTTTGGTGGAGTGTTTCTGGCACAAACAACATCCATCTCTCTTCATTATACTCTAATGCATAATAAATAAGGCATAATGGAGTTCAAATCAATGAAATCTAAATTGCATTATCAAGATACATATTCACAGTTAATACACCGCTAAGGAATGTATCGCCTCTCACAGAACATTATTTCCTTTTATTAGAAACTAAAGTATTTAACAAACGCATATAAAAACAATAGCAGCCGAATAAGGATCTGTACCATCCATTGGCTATTATGTTAGTTTATTCAGTAGTGTCTGAATACTAATAAGTCAGTTTATGGCTTGAGAAACATCTTTGTCTGCAGGAGAGAACTGTAACATCATTTTGGCATGAGCTATTATTATTTAATTAGAAATGAATGGCAAATTGCAATCTAGAGAGTAAAAAGTTTCGATTCGAAACAATTCATGTTAAAAAGCAATGAGAATTTACTTAAACATTTGCAATTAAATGAATACAGTTAAAGGCGTCTTTTTTTCAGACTAACCTCTAGTCTTTGCTTTTTCTTGTATTCATATCAATAAGTCAAAAACAACTGGCAGACACATGGATGAGGGTTCGTAAGTAGACCTTGTTTCATTCACAAACCAAAAAAGGTTGGAAACTGCTCTGGCACGTTTTGAATAAAGTTGATTAATCTGTATTGTACCTGCTTAATATGACGGTGCATTTGTATTTATGTTATCCTATATTTAAACAGTTAATCTCGGAAAGATGTCTTTTTTTAAGAGAGACCTGTGCACAAGAAAAAAAAAAGGAACATACAGTATGAGCATAGACAAACACAGACACAACACACAATTTACATAAAGAAATGAGAGATTTGAATTTCAACGTCAAGTATTTAAAACAAGCTTTTCCAAGCCGAAGACATGGCTATTCCAATTAGAAAGTAAAATCACCACCGAGGCTTTTTTATTCATTAGCTGATTAGCTGCACAATAATGGAGGGATACAATTTGTATTGGTACAATATTATTAACATAAACTGTGTTATGTCACATTCTTACTCTTCCTTTCTCTCTGTTCTTCTTTCTCTTCAGACAGGCCAGTCTTAATGAGGCAGCAGAGAGGCAGTATGAGCGGGCAGCCAGCCTCAGACCAGATGTAAGTACCTGGGACTAGTGGGCCTGTTAGCACTTATCATGGAAATGCACACACACACACACACACACACACACACGCTTGCACTGTAAATTCAATTTACAGCATAATATGTGTTACCCATCATTCTGACACGATATTATAACACTGTTGTTCCTGGCAAATGGAGGGCTATAAAATGGAAAAGTGTGTTCTGTTCATGGCTGTGAACTGGTGCCTCAATGTGCTTTATGTACACACAAAAGATCCCAAAGAGAGAACAGTTCAGTGGTTACCGTCGCCCGTCGTTGAATTCACCCATTCAGCTTCCGAGCGAACACTTGTTCATCACGGTAGAGTCTACCACACAAAGCCTTGAGGGATGTCATGTCTGTCGATGTCAGCACACGCGGTTGAGGAAGTTGGGGGCTATTATATCCTGTTTCTGTACATCAATCAGGCACTTCAAAGAGAAAGGGGTCTGTGAGAGGTAACTTAGAGCCGTAGGAACCCCTGTGTTTTCAGACAAGACCTAGAAGAGCTTCCTGCAGTCATTTGTCATGCTAGTCTGCTTAGCGATGGTCTGCTCTGTGACTTATGTTGCAACAGGAGAGAGGGTTGGACTTTCATCTACATGCCTTTTACTGGAGTAATTAGTGTTACTGTATATTGCAATGTATTCCCCCATCTTTTCTGTGTGGTGCTCATGTGACTGTGGTGTAGTTCGTTTATAGCTTAATGTTAGCTTTTAATTTCTACCAATTGCGTTCATATTAAAAAAATCATAAAAGTGGTGTTCCTCCGTGAAGATTATTTAGCTGAACGATACGTGTAAGTATCATAAACTCGTTTTTGCCACAGAGCTTATTTTCTGCAATAATCGAAAATTCAATGGAAGAATCTCATTGTAGTCGAGGGAACCAGGGCGATGCTAACTTCCACGGTTGGCGTACAAAAATGCGTCATCCCTGCAGCACTCTATGGTCGCATATATTTCCTTCTTTTTTCAAATTAGCAACTGCAGAACCGCCATGGGAACAAGGAGGTCTACTAGCCGGGAATCACTGCTTTAAGCATCTGCCCTTTTTGTAGCTAAGGTCTGCCTGTCTGTTTATATCCTGTTTAAGCCTTAAAAGCTGAGTAAATCCATCGAGGACAAGATTACTGGTTGTCCATTTTAATTTGGAAAGTCATGTGTTTAGATTTTATTCTGTAAAAAAAGTAAGCTACCTACAAGTCATTATAATACTCAGTCTGGAAGCATTCATGTGCACATCCAGACAAGCCGAGGGCTTCTCTTGTCATTGGTCGCGAGTAAAGCTTCTCTTGTCGATGACATTTTCTATGCACGTGTCTGCTTAGCGAATGAGTCTCTCAAATTTCAACTTAATCCAGTAGCTTTTCAGGTCATGAAAGATACTCTTGCTGTACGTGTTAAGAAATAAAATGACTGTGTGCCTCCAGAGACAGGTGCAAGTCAAATCCTTTCACTTTGCAGTCTGAAAAATGCTTTATTCACACCAAGTTTACACCAGATAGAAGATCATCTCAAATGTAACGCTGTACTCTGAGCAGAATAGGCTGTTTACTCAGGAAAATTGGAATTCTAAGTATTTTTTCTGTATGTCTTGAGGATTATAATTTACAATTTACAATATAATAATGGTTCAATGTAGCTCATAGGGCACGATGCATCTCAAAAGCTGAAGATCAGATGCAGAAGCAAGCTTACCAATACTGTATATCCAACTTGCTGAAGGTCAAGACGAGCTTACATGTGTTTCACCACTGTGATTGTAGTGTAGCAAGACGTCAAGAGAAAAAAAAAGAATTACTGAATTACTCTCTGTCTGCCTCCCTGTACACACAACACAAGCAAGGCTCCATTTCTGATGATTTAGCCCAGTCTGTGTATTGCATATCACCCAGTTGTTTAGAATGGCAGAGGGACCCTCGTTAATCTTGCTTACTATGTCACAGCTGCTTACAAAGTTGCTGAATGGTACAAAAAAGCAGAGCACGGGCTCGGAGCACTTTGAAATGGAACCGCATGATAGAATCAATTGTTGCACTAGGTGAGAAAAAACAAACCCGACTGAAGGGGGGGGGGGGGGGGGTACTGCACTGTAGCTCCTCGCTCTGTCAAACTGCCTTAATTAAGACGAGGTGAGAAAAACAAGCTGCCACTCCCATCTCTCGTACAAGTGGAATGTAAACGAGAGAAATGTCAATGAGGGACGAACACTTGTGTTTGGGGAGAGAAAAATCTGTGAAGTAGTTGCCAAGTTGCGAACCATATGTCATGCAGCGAGGACCGCTTGGCCTGGGAACAAGGCCAGGTCCGGGGGATGAGGTGCCGATGGCTTTTAGGATGAGATTTTATGTGTGTTTGTTAGTTATGGCACGCTGAGATTAATGTCTATTGACCTGGATTTTGTAGATTTCCACGACTGGTACACTATTCACAGACAGATGGTTTCAATTTGCAAATTCAGAAGATGGTATTTTATTAAATAAGACTCCAGAAAGACACCTCTAAATTGGTTGTTCATTCATATAAAAATAATCTATAATAGCCACCTATTTGTTCACTGTGGCACTATCTAGGGACACCCATATTGTTTTTTGGCCATGCAAGAATTAGATTAGGGCTAATTTAATGCATGTTTGATTTTCTAAGCCACTCTTGTCTCCTTCTCTCACTGGGTCTTCGCCCTCTCCTAGTACCCGGCTGCTCTGATGAACCTTGGTGCCATCCTCCACCTGAATGGGAAACTTCCCGAAGCGGAGGCCAACTACCTGCGCGCGCTCCAGCTCAAACCCGATGATGTCATTACCCAGTCCAACCTGCGGAAGCTGTGGAACATCATGGAGAGGCAGGGACTCAGGATCAAAGCGTGGGCTCGGGATGCAGAACAGCGGCCTTTGAACTGAGAAAGTTGCTCCACTGTTTCCCTTCGTGATGCGTCCTGCAGGGAGTGAAGCAGGACGGGATGAGAAAGAGCTGGAGGCGAAAAAAGCTCTCTCTACGAGACAACAAAGACTACTTCTTTAGAGATGTGTCCCCGTGATGCTTGTTGAAGACAGTTTGAGGCTTGGCATGTTTGGGATTCAAGGGTGTAAGAAGTCTGCCCAATAATACGTCACCACCAGCACTGTATGGTGGCTCAAATGACTCATGTTACCTTTATTATTACATTCTAAAAAGCAATGCTTAATGTCTTTAAAAGATGCACTGAAATCAAAGGCAAATAATTGCAAAGGTCCAAAAGAAAAAAAGCTCTCAAAGATCAGATGGTTATGATTTCACTATCATTAAAAATCTGGGTATGTTTTAAAGCACTTCATTCGAAAGAGGATGTAGAAAAAATATTTAAATCTGCACTGATGAATGATGCCAGCTGGTTTGTGTTGAAGGTGACTCCACCGATTTTACACTGCGAGTACCACTTGGGAGTACCACTACCACACGTAAAAAACATTCTTTTGTGGCTGCAGAGAGAGCTGCAATGTCTGATCAATTTCCTCAAGTGATGTCACTTGAGTCAGGGTCGTTGCCGCTACAGACTGCAAGTTCAAAAATGAATCGTGACGTTGGAAAGAAGTGAGCTTAACAGACTCCTCACCTCTGCTTGAGGGTAGCGGCTTGAAGCTACGTTAGCTGCTACAAGCACAACACGCCAGAAATTCTGTCCTACCTGTCGGCGGTCACGTTGCATTGTGGGTAATGTAGGTGCTAGGTTTTGACAAGAAAGTAGAATGTGCGAAATAAATAAAAGACAAAATCTCTGGTTCTGCTGCATTCATTTGATCCTCTTTTTCTTTTAAACTGTCTATCGTGAGTCCAACAATGTGGAGTACTCTTTTATAACACCGTGATTAATTACCCCCAGGGTGCTCTCGCCTTCAACTTTTACTCTTAATAAATGCATCACATTAAAAGCATGCTAGTGCTAAGGCATCTTCAGGTACCACCCTTGAATACAGTGCTTTTGAATAAGTTGCTCCAACCAATTAAAAGAGCAGGTTAAAGCATAATGCATATAGCCAATTTACATTCTGTTGTCTGAGTCACTGAAGATTGTTCGCACCTGGTGCAGTGTCAATGCTTTGTGACTGTAAACATGAGAACATGAGTTCATGGGAAGCTTCCTCAGCGGTGCCAAAGCTTGTCCTGAGTCTTCACGCCTCTCGTGCCAAGCAAGAACTGAAATGTGTCGTGTTCCTTGTATCAAACGAAGATGTTTCATTTCACGTGATCAAACTTTATTTATTAATACGTGTTGTTTTGTGTGAAGAAGCCAACACTGTGCCGTCACTGTCACGGTAGCCACGCCCCCTCTGATTTTTTCCACATAGATAGGCTACAGTATGCAACATTTTTTCATGTGTATTTTTCTTCTCTCTGCTCAGGGACATCAGGTTGTGGTTCCTGTCACAGAATGGCTTTGTGACACAGAGAGAGCTTCTTAAAGTGATGTTAGGTGTGTTCTGATGATCGTGATGTTTGGTTAAGTTATAGAAAACGTGTAGCTGGAAATGTGTTGTGTTTTGTAAAAGAAAAGTGAACTTTTTTGCCATAATAAAAACATGACTGGTGCTGTCAGCAGTGTGATGTGCTCTGGGAAGCCTGTGCCTCTCAACAATACAAATCCAGTCTGCCAACCCACATGTATATTTATGTAAACACAGATTATGCACTGAGTTGATATTTGGCCCGTAATCCTGTGACTGCATATTAGCATACACCACCATCTGTTTCTCACAGAGATTGGGAAGTGACAAAATATGAATATGTGAGTCTGCCGTGTTCCAAGATAGCATTTGTTTACTTCCCTAAAGCCAATATACAATATTACAAACTACTTAGACTCAAGTTTGCAGCTGAGCTAAAAGGAACCCCTCTAAAACAGGCAAGAAGCAGCAAGAAACACACAGCTAATACGACTATCGACAAACGGATGGAGTCGGTGCAGGGAAAGTATATGCTACAAATGCAATTATTCTGCCCTCTTCTCGCATTTGAAAAGTAACATTATTTAGTACTTCTTTCACACAAGCTCGTATGAAATGGACCTTTTTTTTTCACAGTAGTCATGTTGAGCTGTCAGAGCAGGAAAACCACAGGTGTAATTGATAACATTAACGATGGGGAGGCAGGAGTCATCGTTAACGTCATTAATTACACCTGGGCTTTTCCTGTAAACCACAGACAAATAAATACAAAGAAAAGTGTTACTGTATGTCTGAGAGGTCTAACTCCCTGTTAGGGATGCACAGCATCAGTCACACATATAGAATACAGCATATTCAAATCTATTCCGGAACTATTTTAGATTTAATTGAGATATTTTTGTGTCTTTGAAAAATGTTAAATAACGTAAAACAAGGAAGTGATCTCTCTCCAGTTAAGAATAGTGTCGCGCTCTCTCTCTAAATGACACAACACACGCACAGCTCTCTGAGAGGAACCCCTAATTAGACTTCTCACAAACTCAACATGTTGATATCATCTGATCGAGCAGACTTCAAAGACGTTCTAATCACATGCCAGGCTTTGAGCACAGCACGCTGTATATATTTAGGAAGATATCAAACTTGACTCATTGACTTGCAAGAACTCACAGCCCCAATTTCAAACATTTCAAACATGTCAAACTAGAAGCTAGCATACATCTGTGAAGAATCAAGAATGTATTTATTATGCACAGAAACCCCATCTGTTAGACTCATCACTGAATCTGCCCATCTCGCCCACAGGACCAATTCAATCATCTCATATAGTTTACTGAGAGATGATGGTCTGGCTCTGGAGAAACGGCACCAACTACAAAAACTACCAACACCATACCAGTAAACAGCCACCTACCCATGTGGATCCATACAATATTGAGCCAAAATAAGTGAATAAATTATTAAAATAAAAAGAGAAGAGAGAGTGATTTATTTTTCTGGCTGTTACCAATGAAATTGTGAATAGTTTAGTTTAAATGATGATACAATAAGACAAATAATGTGCGAGTAAGTGCATTTCACTTGGGATTGTACAATGGGAATTTCATGGGTTTTCTTATCTTTTAATACAGTCAAATATTCCATGTAATATAATAATGAATTATTGCATTATGGTGTGGAATGGATTCCACATGGACAGTAATGCGATTTCCATGTGTTATCCAATTACGTACACAAGAGGACATCATAATAAAATAGATAAAGTTCTGGGTAAATTAAACAATAATTCATCAAATAAATTCAGGGCATGCTTAAAAAAATGGATGTAATATTTCTGAAATTAATTAAATAACTACATGTTTTTTTTGGGGGGGGGGGGGGCAAAACAAGTCAAGTTGTCCTATGCTGGGCTTGCTCACTCTGTCCTGACTAATAAAGCTCATTAGAATTGAGCATGTAAGAAAGAAACAACGAGCTCTTATTTGTAAACCTGGCCCCACCTTGTCTCTGTATTTCCCTGGTCACACTAGCCTGACAGCCAATGAGGAAGCTCTTTGATAACCTCTGCTTCTTTCCTTCCTGTGGGGTTGAACACACCACCGGGGGTGGGACCAAGTTGTCTCTGTTCCAGAAACTGGTAAAAGAGTCTCATTTTGCATGAGTGAAACAATACAAGCAAGTCATCCTTGTCTAATTACAGCTGAGTAACATTTTCCATCAGTGGCGACAGTCTGTACTTACTGTACTTTACACCTAACTGTAAGCTTTTAACACATTTGAAAGTATCTATCTATCTATCTAAGCTGCCTTTGTCAGAATATGAAAGTTACTCACACACAATGGCTGAATGTGTTCCATATCCGGCAGACATGATCCTGTGACATGACCCAGCAACACCTGGGCCTACATGTTAAAGTGAAGCTCTAAAACTACACAATAGGGAAGGAAGTGAGGCAGGCCCATGACACATGAAAGAGTTCCTCCCACTGCCTGCATGGCAAGCATATGGGAGAAGTGGAAGCATACGGCTGGCGCCTTTATGACTTGGTGTTTCAGTGTACCAAGTGACTTTTGGCCACTGAATACAACCACTGGCTGTGACCGTTTGGTAAATAATAATGATGATGCTGGGAGAATGAATCCAGATGAGCTGCTGACTCACCATGAAGGAATAATGGCAAAACCTCTAAACATAATGTGGACCAGTCAAAACTGATCTCTGCCAAGACTAAAAACCTCGATTTTTAAATATAGCGACCTCTGCTGACAGTTTCCCTTCAGTACTGTTGGTTTAATTCCAAGACTTGGAGGAAGTGAAAAAACAGCCCTGTGGGAACCCACCATGCTTCTTGTCAGATATGAAAAAAAATACTGATATTTTTACATTCTCTATCTATTCTTTATTTCACTGATGTGGCTGGGCAGCAGGAATAGGGTGAAAGCTACACCACAGCCAGTGACGTCAGTGCAGGTGTGTGGTATTTGCTTTAATAATGAAAGTACAACACCTGTTTCAACGTCACTGATCTGGGTGTGTCGATAATTGACACCTGGAGAGAGAGCGCAGTCCAACTAGTTTTCTAGCCTGATGGAGTTAAGTTTCGATTTGCTCGCTCCTGTGGAAAGTGCTTGTCAATAGTTTAGAGGTGCTACTAACAACGTCTACATTACACCTGCAAATGCTAACAGTCTGACTGTAATCTGAGTGTGTAAGTGCAGATGATAAACAAAATGGAACAGGAATAAACACATGTAGATTTTAGTTTGGTTCTGAAAATACATTTATTTATGAAGCTCCTCTGTTTTAAGGTCCAAGAGAAAGCTGCTCAAGATCTTTTCACTTCATTTGTACTGAATCAGATACTCTGGATATATTTGATTTGGATCAAAAATAACAAAAATCTTTGGATGTGTGATATCATCCACACAGCTGTCGTGAGAGTTTTTGGAACTTCTATCATCAGGTTTTTGTAAATTCCCTTGTCCAACAGTTGATTTTCCGACCATCACCCGAGCCAGAAATATGACTTTAGTAATTTCACCCGGTAAACCTCGTGTTTCCACGCCATAAAGCGGTAATTGATCCGTACTGCTCTTGCTGTACTTGTCTGCAAATGCTGCATGTTTAGCAAAATATATTCCTAAAAAAAACAAAGGAAGTCAGATCAGTCAGACCTACATTCACAATTCTACTCTATATAGTATAATGTTGCACAGTCATTTAACTTACCTTTGCCATACGAGCCTCGCACACGTAACCCTAAATCAAAGTTATATGTGCAAATGCCGTCAACATTTCTGATTTCGGTCCCATGAAAGAGGTTTTTCTCCTGAATTTCTTTGACGCCTTTGATTCTCATTAACTGCTTCTTTTTCCTTTGACATAAATAAACAGAAGGTTTTGATTACAAAGATGGATAATGATGAAGGGAATGGAGAGAGACAAACTCAAAGCCGTAGCCTATACTTACCGACAATACATGTCCCATAAATCCATATTCTGTATCCTGCTGATTGATACAATGGATCTGTTCAACAGCCCATCCGTCTCCACATAATGTGCCACAGTCTGATACTCAGCACTGAGTTCACTCAGAGGGATTAACTGTAAAATATATACAAAATACACATTTAAATCATACTTGGCCTAAAAATATATATGAATCTGAGTTTTTAAATCCCAATGCCTGTCTGTTTCTTATTCAACAAAGATACTGAAAGTAAAAACATTTATAAAAAGTACAATTTGTGAATATATAATTATGCTTTTATCAGATTCATTTAATCATTTTTTTTCCTAATCCAAACAAAGATGGTAATGTTATCTAGAAATATGTCTTTGTGTAATTTAGACAACTTGAAACAAAATTAGAAATTTGATTACCAGTTAAATCTTAATATAGTTCCTTGCTCACAACTGGCTTTACTGAATAGTTTTCAATACATTCATTGTCAGTCATCGTCACCTGGTACGGACAAGTGGGATCAACCCTTTCCCAGAGAACAGGAGGAGCACTGAAGCAGGAGCAACTGTGGGAGGAAACACGAAGTCATTTCCGGCGTACTTTCACTTTCATTACTCAAGAAACTAAACTGACATATCTATGACTGACTCACTGTTGTGAGTGTAAATCTTTTATTCTAATGTGTTTGAAATCTCCTTTACCCTCTTTCAATGTTGTAGCCCCGTTGGACACGTATTTGCCTTCCTGTGGCGACATCAGTCCGTATCATTGCTTTTTAACAACACAGAAGTCATGTCAAATAAGTGCTATACAGGTAAATGATGAACACAAAATGTGGTCAGATAGGCTACCTGAGAAATCAATCTTGATGTGATGATCGGATGACAATCCTTTAAACACCCCTTTTGAGTCTCTTCCAAAATATTTTTCCATATCCTCACTTCTAAGCGGGTTATCAGGGTGATTCTGCAGGACGGACAGAAGGTAACAAAAGTCTAATTATACCTCAGACATTCTGCTCCACTTAGACATGTGTAAGGTAAACTTTAAATTTAAGATTAAGAAAAAATGTACCTCAAATCTGTGCCACCTTCCACAGTCTCCCAGGTAATACCAAAACAATGGGGTTTCTGATGTGTCCATGGGTTCCACTTCTTCATTGTCCCCCATTGTGAATTTAATATATCACAACAAAAGCTGAACAAATAAGTTAGGCAAAACTGTCCTTCCTCTCTCTGACTTGCTCGGGTAGCTATTCCAGTTGACATTGGTGTGTTCTTCATATACAAATAAGGTGCCATGCATAGCCACACCTCCGTCTCTCTTTACTTTGAAGAGGACATTGTTAGCAGCACCACATCATTCATCATCAGTCATCACCTCTGAAATGTGTTCAAAAAAGAAGTCATTTCATATGCTTACGCTGAAAAGTTTATTAGTTGTAAGATGTGCAAATTATAGACACACACATATAGCTTCATACACCCTACACTCACACACACACACACACACATCTCTAATGTTATGACTGGAAACATCCGTTTGTTTCCTTCACTTGCATTTACAAGGAAATGCATCCTTGCACTGTTCCGCCACCTTGTGGCCAATATGATTCATTTTGTTGCTCTCCTTTCTCAAAAACACACACACAGTCATTCAATGGATTCAACAAATGCACACGCGGCAAAGCAATATTACATTTTGTGGTTCATTTTCATTACAGTACTATACATGTGCTGGCTACATTCAGTTTTTTTTTTAAAGATAGATTTACACCAGGTGCAAAGGGAACCTGCTTATTCCTTAAAGAAACATCTTTCGCAGGTGGTGACATCACACTCGGGATGGTTTTAAGTCAAATGTGATGCTGATCTAGTTTTGGTTTGGAATGAACTTGGCTGCCAACGCATACAAAAAAAAAATCCAACCTCGGCCATTGTCACGTCTTTTAAAGACTCAAGTCAACGGTCAACAAAGTTACACAGAAACATATTGCTAAAAAGGACCACAAGTGAAACAAGACATCACAACTTTATGTCACTGTGACACAAATACAAAACCTTTCATGGAAAGGGGGGGAAAAAAGTGCACAGATGCATGGTTTAAAAAAAATGCAGAGGTAGAAGCGTTCTTTTGAATAAAAACAAAACCCCATGCCTACATAATACGTTGTACTAAGTACACACAGATGTCACTAACTGAATGAGTGAGCAGGAACGTGTTGCCGTTTTTTGGTTTCGTCATTTGGAGTTATGTCTACATGACTTGTAAATAAGCTCATGCGTGGCACTGTGGATGTGGAGGAGGGGCTGTGGCCGATGGCAGGACATCACCCATAACCTACAGGCTGCAAGTCCCACTCATATTTTAAACAACTGTGCACTGGATATTGAACAAGCAAGCACAGATTTATGCATCGAATACAAAAATTGCCACAAAGACTGATCTTTAGTCAGCATTTTCATCATTTTTATGTCGCGGAAACCATTCCAACCACAGGGGCCTGTCTCAGAATGTACACAAACTGTACACGAAGTCTTTGTCTTTCCAATTTCCCCAAAGGCACTTTAGATGACACATGTTCCAGTTCGGCACTGGATCTGACTGAAAGAAAAAGGCAAATGTCCCTTAAGCCGCCTCCTTTTTATTTCCAATTTTCATCCCGTCATCTGTATCCAAAATGTTTCCATGTTTAGAGATCCAGCCTCTATAAAAACAGGCTTCAGTAGAACTCAACCAGGTACTCTGGGTAAATCTGATTGCTGTCAAAAATGACATAAATCTTTGGATTGGCCACATCGTCCACACAACTGTCATAAAAGTTGGTGAAGCTGGCATCCTTGGACGGCGGTCTGCAGTACATAGGGTGACCGACTATGTGTTCGCCAACAAGCACTCTGGCCAGGAACATGGTCTTGTAGGGCGGCTCAGTCGCAAATATCGGCGGGGCGAGTCCGTGTCTCTGCAGGGTGGTGTTGTGCTTCCCTGTGGTGTGACAGAATTTACTGGAATATTTGGCATCCCGTGCAAAGTAGCTTCCTGTAGGGGATGGAAAATTGAATGAAATGTTGAAAAATCAGACAAAAGCAAAAACGGTGGCAAATTGTTTCATGATGTGAAATCACAACGCAGACAGATCTACCTTTGCCATAGACATCGCCATGGCTTCCTGTCAGCCGCCAGTCAAAGTTAAATGTACATATAGCTTGTATGTTGCTGTGTCCTGTGCCGTGGAACAGCATTCGCTCCTCAATGTCCAATGTGCGCTTGACTTTTCGCAACTGCGTTTTCTTCCTTGGGGGGGGAGGGAGAACCAATGAATGACAACACGACACAGAGTACTGATCATCACTTTGTGGCTCAGTGTGCTATCAGCAGGGCATCACAATCCATTTCATGTTTCAGGGAAGGTGAGGATCCTCTCTATTGGGTTTAATTCTGTTGATTTACTTCAACAGAAGAAAAGCTTTGTCTGTTTGTAGGGGCTGGAAAAAGGACTTAAATGAAATCAGCATCACAGCAGAATTCTCTGGTAACAAACGTCACTCACAACAACACAACAAGGGTCTACCTGCAGAAGAATTCCCATAAGTCGAGGTTCTGAATCCTCTGGATGGATTTGATTGGATGATCCATAGTCCTTTCATACAGCCTGGCGACTTCTTTAAACTCATAGGTGTCTCTTCCGAGCTGGATAAGCTGCAAGAACACCAGTCACACCAGAGTAATGCAGTCAAAGTAATTCTAACAATAGTAGGGCTGTTATTTGACTCACCTGATAGGGCTCATCAGTATTTATTCTCTCCCAATGACACGGAACAGGCAAGGCAAGATTATCACATATAAACCTGACAGAAGAAGTGAAAGAGAGAGGAGAGGGTTCAGTCATTTCACTGTTACAGTTAAGTTCATTTGCATTAATGTCAATACACCAATGTCATTAAGGAAAAGGTTGCGATGAAGAAAGAAACCCTATCCTTTATTTTCCTTTATAGATAAAGGAAGTTTCCGTGGAGTTTGAGCACCACATCTTACCTGAAGCCAGTTGCAGAGTGGAGGGAGCGTTTGATTGGCCGCTGCTTCCCTGTCGTTACATTTATCTGTCGCATCACTGGTGAGGAGTGCAACAAAGATTAGAGCCGCAGGAACTCGCATTCACGCACAATTTCTGGAACGGGATTAATCCCGACGACCGTCCGATGAAGAGCCTTTTCGTACAGCTTTAACTAACTCGTTACTTAACTCATCACCATACCTGAGAAGTCCAGTCTGTAGGTGTACTTGGCTGTGTAGAATTCCATGACACCTCGTTGGTTTCTGCTGTAGCACTGCTCAATCTGAGCACTAGTCACAGAGCACGCGGCACTGGGATCAATCTGACAGGGGGATTGAGAATTGTGAATTACTCTAATGGAGAGCTGAAACATTTAGTTGATTTGTCATTTGGTCCATCGCCAAAAAGTTAATTGGCAGCTATTTAAGTGATTGATTAATTGTGATTTAGTAACATCCTGGAGCACACAAAGTAAGGACAATAAAAGCAATGAATTCTCACATTTAAACAATCAAATAGTTGTCATTTTGTCTTGAAAAATCACTTTACTTACTACTACTTCTTCTACTTACTTTCCACGTGGGAATTGCATTGACTAAACCAAAGAAGAGCTAGTCTGTGACATTGCACTGAGTAGCCTTTGACTGACATTAAAGCCTGCAGACTTTAGGCTCTCAGCTGCACACAGTCAGAGAGCAAGGTGTCACAGGGCGAGGGATCATAGGACTGTACGAAAGTGTATTGTGATGTGTGAACTACCTCAAACATGTGCCAAACTCCACACTCAGCCAAGTAGAACCAGCACCATTTGGGATCCGAGGTGTCCATCTCCTCCATCTCAGTGGACTCCTCCTCTGACGACCTGATGGCTAACATAGCTAAATCTGAAATGAGTAAGTGAAAATACACTTATGCAAATAGCAGAATAAATCAAGGTATGGGGGAGGGGACCAAGGTGATGTTTTATTCGTGACACAAACATAACTTCGAGTGCATATTTTAAGTCATGGTCGTGAGGGAATGTAAACAAATTCAAATAATACAGAAACTGCCTTATCAAGCTAGCTTTCATTAGCGGCTGCCGCTCCTGACTCCTCTCAACTCAACGGGTGCCTTACCGGTTTCCAGCCCGTCTCTAACTGGCTCCCCGTCCTTATCACGATGTAATTAAATCCTATGTGCATTATGAATCACAAAACATCACAGACTCCGAATGGCAAGGGACGACTGACGCGACATAACACTTTCGTCTTCCTGTGCGTTGTTTACTTTTATTTCCTGTTTCGTCACGCAGAAACGTCAATGCGTCAATATGATGTAACTCCTCCCCCTATGATCTAGAGTAAATGGTCCCTGATTCTGTCCTGTCAGGGTAAACATCTGCCCGGATACAGCACCAAAAATGTTTTAATTAAGAATAAATTGTTCATAGATTATTATAAAATGTAAGTTTGTGCGCATATAAGCAGACGCCTGGTATGCTGTGCCTATGCATAGAAATAGAACGATTGAAGAAAGATGAAACGGTGTGTTTAACACGTTTCAGCTTGCAACTCAGACACGTTTTTAGGTTATAAGAACTAATTAGAACCAGACAACAGTGGAGGAATAGTTGAAAGTATGTTTTCGATTAACTGCTGCATGTTTTACGTGAGTGTTTTATATTTTTTACATTTCATGCCACTTGAAGTGAAATATTTCGGAAAGAAATATTTCACTTCAGTGCATATGAATTATAGTAGTAAGTAATACTTACTTTGCAGATTGAGAAATGACATACAAAGGCGCTCAGCTCATATGATGCACCAGAGACCTACTCTTATAATAATAATAATCTAATAATAATAGTCAAACGACATAGCGATCTATCAAAAATATGTATTTTTGCACAAATATATATATTTTTTCAGGCATGAGGACTTTAGTGGGGCATGCCTATTTCACATTGTGGTGAGGGAGCGTCCACGAGGACAGCTTGTTCTGAATGGGACGCAGTAATAGTGTGTGTGTGCGCGTGTGTTCGTGTGGTGTCCATCAGGACACGCCCACCTTTACAGTAGAGATTTTCTTCAAACTTCGGTTAGTCAGTCTCGGGATTTCATTTACGCCACCCACTGCAAGCCCACGAGTGAGTTAGTTGCATGCATTTAAAACTCTCTTAAGAACCTAGAAATATTTGCCTTAATAAGTTCTTACAGTAGTTTTTGCAATCATCAGCACAAGTTGGAAGAGTCATTTCTTGGAAGTTAATTGCATTGGGAGTTGGATAGTTTTGTCATTTGGCGTTGACAGAACCAGGAGAGAAGGTTTAATAGACTGTTGTGTGAGCTGTTGGGATAATTATGAAAACTACCAATTAAATTGTAAGGGCCACTGGACGAGAGGTACAGACATGGTTTGCATTTCACGTGTGTTTATAATGTGTGTGCATTCATGCAGACGGAGAGACTATGACTAAGGAAACGGCCACAGGGACTCCTGCTGGAGTCTCGGGACCAGATGAAATGGTGCCTCCTCAGGGTGGGGTTCAGCCGAGAGGGAAATGGGCCAACAACATGGAGTTCATGCTCTCCATGGCTGGAGAAATCATTGGCCTCGGGAATGTTTGGCGTTTCCCTTATCTGTGCTATAGAAATGGAGGAGGTAAGGGACCAGGTTTTTGAGATATGAGGGGATTATTTGCTGGATGTAAGTAGACGTAAGCTGAAAAGGTGTGTGTATGTGTGTGTGTGTGTGTGTGTGTGTGTGTGTGTGTGTGTGTGTGTGTGTGTGTGTGTGTGTGTGCGCGCGCACATGCATTTGAATACCTGTACACACGTGTATTTGCATGTTTGCATGTGTTAATGTATGCATGTTCAATGAAATGACAGATGGCAAACAGATCAGGTAGATCATGAGAGAGGAGGAGAGGTGACACCAAAAGTCACTCACATCTGTCATTAAAAAACGTATTCTTCCTCATCTTACTGGCACACTGAATTCACGACAAAAATGGTTTCCATTGTTGTCCGCATTGTCAGAAAACATTTCATAATATCCCATTCTAGCTTCTGTATAGATAGATAGATAGAGATACCAATCTCTAAGAAGGGTCCTTGACAATTTTCCCAAGTAACATGGAAAATAGTGTAATCCCACTGTAAATTCTTTCATTACAATTAATCCCTTTCATCCCACTTAGCTAGTTACATAATCAACCTTTAATATGTGTTGGATTTGTGGCTTAATATGTATTTATTTGTCTGTGTGCAGCGTGCCAATATTTATGGAAATGCTGCTTTACATCACATACGAGTGACTGTCTTTAAAGGTTATGTTTATTTGCAGGTGTCTTCTTCATCCCTTACTTTGTGTTCCTCTTCTTCTGTGGCATCCCTGTGTTCTTCCTGGAGACGGCGTTGGGCCAGTACACCAGTGAGGGCGGGGTGACCGCCTGGACGAAGATATGCCCCATGTTCCAGGGTAAAGACAAGGCTCGGACAGATCTTTTGTAGAATTACTCAACAATGAGTCCGTTGACATGCAGGAAATGCATGTTTTTTTCATCGTGCTTTGTTCATTGTTACTGGAAAAATACATTAAGATAAATACATTTTGATGATTGTGGCCAGTACTGGTGATTGATTTTTCAGACCACATGAAATGCTTCCAAAGTGAAATAATGGTAAGAATTAAAGGAGAATATGTACGTACATGAATATCTCAGTGTTTGCGACTGGGAAACCAAACCAAACTTTGTGTGAAAGTGTGTGAAAACTCATTTTGTCCTGCAGGTTTGGGGATTGCGGCCCAAGTGATTGTGGCCTATCTGAACATCTACTACATTGTGGTGTTGGCCTGGGGCATCTTCTACCTATATAACTCGTTCAAAAGCCCATTACCCTGGTCCACATGTGACAACTGGTGGAACACTGGTGAGTCATGTGTTGTGATGAATCGACGCTGGCTTGTTTAAACACGTCTGTATTTGATCAGCAGTGTCGTTATTGCTTTCTTACAGACTTCACCGAAAGAAAAGTTGACACATTTTAACACTTTGAAGCATGCAACATCCAACTCACCCTCATCTTTCTTTCCTAAAACCTCTAAGAGTTATGTCACAGTCGCTCCAGCGTCTTTGCCAACCCAGATTTGTTTCAAGCTGGCTCAAACTGGTCGTTCCTAAACAACATCACCATATTTGACTACTCTCCCAATGACAATTCCACGTAAGTTGCATCGTTATTGTCAAGCTGTACCTGGTGAACGTTAGATATTCTATTGGTGTTAATGTAGTCTACTGTAGGTTATGTATATTATTCCTAAACAAGTAGTTTTGTTGCCTTAAACCTAGCCAAACTGTGACTGAAAAATTATTAAAATTAAAATTATTAACTAAATAATAAGTGTTACTAAGTATAAAAATGCTGCTTCTCAGAGGACCCAAGCCCAAGTCACAAGCCCTTAGTTTGACCCATTCACCAAGCTAACTATTGCTAAATTAAGTAGCATATTCAACTCGACCGGGTGTAAATAGCTGAATAGCTGCCATGTGACTATTCTCACCGGGGTCCAAATACACAGAAAAAGCAAGAAATATGGCATTAGTATTGGCTTCTATAGATGTAGCAGCATTCGGACACACCCATGCTTTCATGTTCAGAGCAGGAGGTTCTTACATCTGTTTCTGTAGTAAAAAAAGTACAAGAAAACAACTATTAATCGTTCCCTAGGGATAGTTGGAAGGTGAAAAGTACACCTAATAAATATAAAGGACTTTAGTTCAATAGTGGTTGAAAAAAACAAGTGGGGTTTTAAATGGTAGAAAAATGCCATATGGATATAATAGACATGATGGGAGATTTACAAGAGATAAATGGGAAGTTTGATACCACTCTCATACGGTAAATATAAAGCTACAGCCAGCAGCCTGTTAGCTTAGCTTAGCATGAAGACTGTGAACAGTGAAACAGCTGGGCTCTGTCTGAAGGTATCACAATCCCAAATCCATCACGTTTAAATAATAACGATTAAACACAGTCGTAGTAACACCCCTTTTAACATTGTTGATATCGCTCAGATATCTGAGTGCTGCAGTTTAGAAAATGAAATGTGAGGACTTGACTATTCAAAGCTAAAAACAAAGCAGAAGAATTGTTTAAAGTTATTATTCAATTTCAAATCACCTTCCTTACTTGCATATGTTTTCAAAAATATGTTTCCTGCAGTATAAGTGACCCATACGCGATTGGCAGGTCACCGGAAGAGGAGTTCTGGCAGTGAGAAACACACACACACACACACACACACACACACACACACACGCTCACACATTATCTTTTTAAAACGAGAAAGTAATTTCATCCTCCCCAGCGTGCATGTCTGGAACATTCCTCAGCAATAGCTTCCAGCCTGTTACCAAGAGGCCATCTTTACTGTCTGGGCATTAAGTGAACATGATGCTAATGATGAACCATTATCGCTGTCATACTAAAATGGAAGGAGTCTCTGTCTGTATATATAATTATCTACGTACTATGTTTGTTCTTTGATTTTCCCGGACAACCGTTCATCCAATCGACTTCACACAAGGTGGGTGTTTTGCTGAGGACCCAAGGAAGCACAGTGCAGAGTGTGAAGTAGTTTGGATGAGCAGTTCTCGGAAAAGCTGCAAGCAGCAACACTGGAGGCCAAGTGATCGCCCCGTTTCCAAACAGGCACTGCACTATTTATACTAATTTGCAGATATTTTGGAACACAGCTGCTGCTCTTCACATGATAATCTCCTGATATTGGGAAATCACTCAGCTACAAACTGCACTGCATGATGAGAACAATATGTGCTCTGTTACCTGCAACTTCTATAATGCAACCCGAAGCCATCCAAAATAAACCATGACAGATTTTCACATCTGTATTTATTCATTGAGATGCTTCGTCCTTTTTTGCTGTATTCGAAATTATTCCCACTCAAGTGGACACACTAAAGGGAAATATAGCGTTGGATGCGTTCCTGGAGCACTAGTAGCGAGCTGTGTTTATCTGCAGTGGGAGAAGGCTTATGAAATAAGGAACAAAGTGGATTCAATTGCACATCTGTACATCCATCAGTCTGCGTGTTATTTGCAGAGGATGCAGTTTTACATATGTGTTTTCTCTTCCCCACAGACACCGTGTGTTAAGGATGACAACTGACATGTCCCTGGGTAAGGTAAACTGGGACCTGGCTGTCTGTCTCTTGCTTGCCTGGATTGTTTGTTACTTCTGCATCTTTAAGGGAATCAAATGGACAGGAAAGGCAAGTACTACCTTTGAACCCATACACAGTACTGTCCCTGATATTAAGTTGCATACACATGGCTTCTCTAGCTCATCTCCCTTTCTTTCAATCTACCTTCACACCTAGTATGTGATTGGTATGGATGTAATAAAAGAAAATCAATGGGTGATTGATTTTTATCTGGAGTCATCAATGAATACAAAGTTTTAAGTTAGAATTAAATTAAGATGCTTGCATGTACTGGACATTATGTGGAAGACAAAAGCTAGGGCATGCAGGTATTTAACATATTTGAACACACACACACACACACGCATTAAATCTTGTCCTCTTATACACTTCAGAGGAAACACAAGATGGATTCCCCTTCTTGAGTCTTCTTTATGACAACAATCAGTAAAACCTCTCAGTCCACAGTTTGTTTGGATGCACTGTAAACATATACTTGAATTGCTCTTCTTCCATTGCCCAGCTGACACAGTATGCATGCTTATTGCCCCAGTTGTTGATACAGGTGTCTTTGAAAGAAACTCTAGAGCTTGTAATAATAAAACGTACTTGCAGTTAACACAAGTAATCGCAAAATCAATCAAAAGATTTTAACTGTATTGCTCTATGGAGTGTTTTAGCATCTTTCAGCTCCTTGTTTTGGTTAGACATTGTCGATTAACTCTGATAAACCCGTTGTAACTTGTCCAGCACCAAACGGCAGGCAGATAACTTTTGTGGAGCTAAGGGCCAGAAATGTCTCTCATGAGTTGCTGGAGACCAAATCAGAGCTGAAAGAGAGAGAATACTGGACAAGATCATAACAAAAAAAGTATTTTTAATGTTGCTTCATGTCTGCTTGATGTGTAAAAAGGGGAAAGCTTGTATAAGCTTTCCCCGTGCCCTCAAAGCTTGTATATCAAATTTATAAGATAGTAATAAGTTAGTGTTTCGTGTCAGTGTGCTTGTTTCCGTTGTCCCAAAAAAATCCCTTTTATGCAGGGTAAATGAAAGGATTGAGTGTACATATACAAACTACCTTTTTGTTGTATGTGTTTTGTGTTTTCAGGTCGTGTACTTCACTGCTACATTCCCCTACCTGATGCTGTTCATCCTCTTCATCCGAGGAGTGACCCTCCCAGGAGCCGGGGAGGGACTTCGATATTACCTCACCCCTGACTTAAGCAGGCTCTCTGATCCACATGTGAGTACTCTAACAAGAGGAATGCAGTGCCCTGTTATCTCCTCCCCCTTTTCTTTTTGCCTTCAATCTGGTTTCCGGTCTCAAGACAGAGACTTAACAAGAAAAGCAAACCAGGATGCTTTTTCAGTGAGAAATTTGTCAAAGAAAGCTTCCCCCTTGAGTATACAGTAACATCATCACACAGGAGTTAAAACAATCTCAATCTCACACTATGAAGGCATATTTACTATCATAAAAAGTTAATATAACTATTTTTAACCTGAAACTCCATCATTGCGAACTTCTGATTTATTTTACATAAAATAAGTATTACATTCTCACAGCAGATCTGTCATTCACTCAGCATAATGATGTACTTTCTAAACTGAAAAGGAAAAAAAAAAGTGAGTTCTGGATGCCATGCTCATGCACAATGACAGCCTCTGTTTCTGCCAACAACGACGAATTAAGAAAAGAATTCTTTCTCCCACAAAAGAGATCATCACCCCTCTTACTTCCCCTCACCCTGCTTCCTCTCTATGTCCGTCTCCCTCTTTACAGTTCAGAGCAGAGCTTCAGGGGTCAAATGTAATAACCAGAGAGTTAACCCTCAGGCACCCCCTCGTCTTTGAGGACTCTCTCAACCATTGTGGGAATCTTAGAATGCAATCGTGGAAGGAAGCAAAGGGAAAAACTGTGAGAAATTTGGCGTAATGTCTAAAGCAGGTGAACGCAGTTACGTGTCAGAACAGTTCTGACACGTACAGTTCTGTTTCTAATAAGTGCTGCTTCAGCATGCAAATGTTTCTGCTTGAACCGCAGAGGAAATCGTAAACAAATTCTGGTCCGCATCTGGGGCCTGTTTGAACTGTGTCTCCTTTTGTTCATGTGCGTGTGAATCTGTATTCAGAACCGCCAAATAAAACGCATGTTTCGAAAGACACAAGTTTCCTCCTTGTCTGGTGTCCGATTGACTGACTCACTGATAAGTCTGTCTCACTGTGGGGCCAGAGAAGGGGCCCATGGGAAAAATGGCCAGCTCTGTCTTTTACTGGACGAGACTCGCAGTGCTGTTGTGCCTCTAATGTTAACCAGATGCTGTCAGAAACGAGGGCCAGACATTCGTGTCAACAAACCCGCCCACGCCACGCCAACCTGAATGGACGCATATGTGGCGCACACTCACTCTCACAGTTGTAAATGCAGGGACAGAAACAAAAAGGAATTTACTATATAACGTACATTTCAACACACAATCACAGAAATTGCCAAATAATTAATACTGGCATAAAGCAAAGCTGCTTGTTATTGTGCAGTTGTGGTTATTTGTTTTGACCTGGCAAATTCCTTTGTTATTGCTCTGTAAGGAAAAAAAATGGAAAGCATATATCCGGGTTATTTTAACAATGTCAACATTCCAGGTCCCTCTCAAATGTTTCAAACGTCAATCTCTTACACATCTTCTAGGTGTGGCATGATGCAGGGACTCAGGTGTTCTTTTCCTTCGCCGTGTCTCAGGGAGTACTGACCGCTCTGGGGAGCTACAACAAATACAACAATAACTGCTACAGGTCGGTGTCCTCACAACGCAGCGCATGGTCACATTTACAGGTTTTACATTCATGCGCTCCTTCACAGTGCAGGCTTTTGTTCTTGGTGTGTTGTAGGGATTGCTTGGCACTATGCTGCCTGAACAGTGCCACCAGTATCTTTGCTGGTTTTGTTGTGTTCTCAGTGCTGGGATTCATGGCTCATGACATGGGCCAATCGATGGATACAGTTGTTTCTGCCGGTGAGTTCTTTTCTCCCTTTTCAGCGTCTGCATCTTTCATTTCACTGCTTGCTTTGACAGTTGTTGTATTTATTTTTCATGCATTGTTGGGCTGCAATAAATAACTATCTTTGAATCATCAAATCTTCATATTTGAGAAGCTAGAAACAACAAATGTTTGGGATTTTTGCTTTATTGTTCAATCGTGAAAATAGTTGTCCATTCATTTTCAAACAATCGACTAATTGTTGCAGCTGTATTGCATCGTGGCTCTACAGTAATTCTGGCAGTGGCAGCAACAATCAACAATGTCCACAAGATGGCATCTTAAGTTGACACACAGTTGAAAGATTTTTACTTAGATGGGATCGGGACCCCCTCGAAGGGTCACAGGAAAAATGTGAGGGCGCACAAGATGATTGAAGGGATAAGAACAAATATTTCTCTTCCACGGAATTAGGTTGATTTATTTTTTCTTTCACTGATCATTATTAGGCTTAAAGGAACAGTGTGTAGGATCTTGGGGGAGCAATTGGCAGAAATGGAATATTTTACATAATATTCACAACTATATTATTATTTGTGTATAATAAGCTCAAACAGAATCGTGTTTTGGTTTGCTTAGAATGAACCCTTCATATCTACAGAGGGAGATCCAGAGAGAGCCTTTCCTGTTTTATGTTACGTGAAGGCCAGCGTAGCTCTCTGACACGCTTGGAAAGTAAAGGAGTGAGCGGATAGACATGTGTTGATTGATCTATTCATGTGCTTTCTACAGGTCCTGGTCTGGTCTTTTCGGCGTATCCAAGGGCTCTGTCGTTACTGCCCGGCTCATCCTTCTGGGCTGTGCTCTTCTTCCTCATGATCCTCTTCCTGGGCCTGGACAGTCAGGTATTGTATGGAACGCAGTGTTTTCAGCAGCATATCATACTCCCTTCTGAGCCAATTTGTTTCCTTCCCCACAGTTTGTGTGTGTGGAGAGCATGGCCACAGCCCTCACAGACCTGTTCCCACGTCACCTGAGGAGGCCGGGCGGCAGAGAGGTGCTGACCCTGGTCATAGCCGTTGTCTGTTTTCTATTGGGGCTGCCGCTCATCACAGAGGTAAGCAGCAGAGAGACTTGTGATAATGAGATTCTTTTTTATTTAGCACGATAACGCACAATAATCAGGTCATTTTTGTAGTTGTTTAATACTTCAATTCATGACCAAATACCTATAAATTAGCAGCTATATCTTCTAATTGGCAAATATTAGCATGCTACCATCTAAACTAAGACAACACATATGGTAAGCATAACTGCTAAACATTGTGATGGAAGATTTCTATGTTAATCGGGAGAAGAGAGAGTTGTTCACAAATCAATAACAAAGTCTTCAAAAGATTCAAAGTTGTCTTTGTCCATTTATTTGCTTGCAAGGGAAGAGTGCGCCACAGATACTCATTCAGCAGTCTGTGGTGTGAGCTTCAACGAGATACAACATTCAGCATCCCTTTATACCTACAGAGGCCTCCGCCCTACATGACTCCCATGCAGGAAGTGTCTAGTCTGGTCTTAACTGGTTCATGCAGGTAGCTCAACTGTGAGTCGGTTGTGGTTTCTATGTTCCTGTTTTAAGCGACCCTTCCCAGAAACAGAGTATGTGAACATGTCTTCAGTTAAAAAAAACAGGTCTTTATTTGCTGACATCTGTGTCTTGCGGGGCCTGTTTTTACTTATCCATTATACTGATATGTCACACTATGTTCTTTAAAAACTTTCCATGATGCTAATACATATTTTACCATTACAACATGCGCATGCTATCATTTAGCTCAATGCTTTTGCACAGCCTCATACAACTGTTAGTATGGCTGTAAACGCTTAGTGTTGTTAATGAACAAACTGACTTGAACAAAGCATAACCTTGCAGTTTTCTTTATTATTAATATTCAGAAAGTGGGCATAAGGCAATAGGGAATTGTGAAGTGTTGATAGAATATACACTATATGCTACACTTAATATCCTATGTACACCAGTAATTAAAGGGTTTGATTTCATGATGTATGACACATATGGCAATGTCGTGCTCTGTTATGTGGGTCACTGACTCACAGGAAATTGGTAACGATGAAGTCTGGATAGTCAGCAAAAAACAACACAGCTTGTCCGTTTTAATGTTTTTTTCCTGCATGTGTATTGTGCTCATGTTTCAGGGAGGGATAGTCCTCTTCCAGCTCATTGACACCTATGGTGCCAGTGGAATCAGTCTCCTCTTTATCGCCTGCTCTGAGTGTGTTGTCATTGGCTGGGTGTATGGTAAGTCGTGCCATTGGCCGTAATGCCCACACTACATGATTTATATTATGCAACAGTGAACCGCTGCTGGGCTGTTCGTCAAAACACACATTATTTACTCACTTCAAAATATTTCTGAAGACCTAAATATCTGAAGCCTTTTGCTTATTTCAAGAGACTGAAGGCGTATTCCTCAGTGCTTTCACAAACATCCTGACCGCGTTTGTGTATATACACAGTAATCAATTTCTGTGACTCTGTAAAAGTGCATTTCCTTCCCAAAAACGACTCGCTCTTTGGAATAAGGCTCATCTACACATCTTCTACGAATGCAAACCGATGCAGAGTGAGATATCGATCTGTTTCTTCAGCTGCTTCCTTGTCCCCGCTTCGAGTTGTTCAGCCGTCCGTTGGGCCTCTTCTGAGTTGTGTTGAGTCTGTGTTGAGCGTGCACAAACTTCCTCACCCAAACTTAAATGAGCCACTCACTTTCCTCCTCCTTGTAGATGCGATTAGTTTGATTACTGTATCATTTTTGTAGCCGTGTCTACTATCCTTGAATCTTAGGTTCTTTTCACTACTGGTCAAAGAAACGAACATTATACAGTCGACACAAAAAAAATACCACAAAGCTTAGGCTTCAACATCTCATTGGGCTTTTAGTTTCCTGTAAGAGCAAAACCCCTTTGATTGACTAACACCTCCCGTCTATGACTTTGCAGGTGCGGACCGTTTCTATGACAACATTGAGGACATGATCGGGTACAAACCCTTCCCCGTGCTTAAGTACTGCTGGTTGTTCATCACGCCGCTCATCTGTGGGGTGAGATACTCACACCTGCGTCACGTCTCTCTCACTGGATTCATTTCCTCTGCGTCTCTGCTTTCATGTCCGTTTCCTTTCATGTTTTCATATGTATTCATGAATTTCTACCTTCAGAACGCAGATCCTTAGCTGCCTCTTGTCTTCGTTTCTTCTTGTTCCCCCCTCTCTCTCCTGGCCTTTCTGTCTTTGCTGAGTGTTTCACATATTTCATTTTGCCACATCAGTAGTTATGCTTGAGCTCACATATGGGGGAAAAAAAGAGTCGAGACTGCAGATTATTCCTGAAAATGTTGACATATCTGTTATTAAAAACACACTTTGCTGCGTGATCAGTACAAGATCAGAAAGTACAGCAGACATGTTCATTCTTAACGGGAATCAGTTGTCAGATAAAGGAGCATATTGATGGTTTTGTATGTTTAAGCAGCACATATCACATACAATTAAAGATAGATAACTTCTGATTCAATTTAGATAGAATTTGATTTCATTCACTTACTGGCCGCTTTCATTCCACTTCTTTCTATTGGTTAGGATTTGTTTCTCTAGCTCAACAAAGCCCACCATTACACTTGTTTTACAGCCAAGCCTTTTTACTTCTTGTCCCCTAGGTCACACTACTGTATGAACTCGTGAACTCACACCGTATCATCGTGTACGGTTATGTAATCGACAACTGGGGCGTCGTCTTGGGCTCGCTCCTTATCCTCGCTCCACTGATGTGTGTCCCAGTATTCATTGTCGTCTCCCTGGTAAAGGTGGGTGAATTTGAAAGTAGGATTTGGTCAATTTCAAATATAATTTCTTTTTCTTCTTCTCAGATCTTAACATTCATGCTGTGGTAGGTGCTTAACTATGTTTCATAACATTATGTTTTAATTGCATTTCCCCTCCTAAAAATCAGAATCCCCAAAACATGACTACACCATCGAGTGATCTGCGTCAGGCTCAACCACACAAGCCAATTCTCACACTGTGTGAATGCGTCGTCTTCAAGGCACAGGTGCAGCCAAAGAGACATGTGGTGGAAAACAAAGAGGATCTGATGATGGGAGAACCCAGCATGGTTTAATGGCAGCACGTTATGGTGCATAGATGTCCTGATTGATTGGTACAAATCTGTGACAACAATTTTATAATCGTGTGCAAACTTTTATAAGTGTTTACACATGTCATGAGTATTCAGGGACAGTTATATTTTTTATGTTGTGTTTTAATTTTCTTGCTACATTAGTCTTTACCTTTTTAATTTGTTTTAATATTGAATAATATTGGAAAAGTCCCATACAATGTACATTTTTCTAAACACCTATAATCCTGTAATGTAAGTGTCTTAAAAAAGTACTTCACCGACAAAGCCTTTCACTCCTATAATACTCACAATGGCCAGTTAAAAATCTATATCGTTGCAGCAGAACCAGAGATATCGTCTTTTTTTATTCCAATCATTCTTCACCCACATTTAACAGACTTTGATGTGTAAAAAGGATGGATCGCCCCTTAAAAACATGCATCTGGAGCATTTGATTACCATGCTTTACCCGCAATTGCAAATTGTAGTAGCAGTTTGTCATCAAATGTATAATGCAGTCAAAACTGTTACATCCTACAATGTTGATCCTAATCAATGCAAAATCTGATTATGCGTTGCTGAATTTGTTGTTTTACTGCAATGGTGGTCTCATGTCCATTGAGTGTTTGTACACTGCTAGGTTCACTTTTATTTTCATAGATACATCAATTCATGATATATGTTACAATAGTGATGAACCTCATTAATCTCATTAAACATATCCCTATGTTCAATATCCTGGTGCCGTGTGCCTCTTTTCATTCTGTCCCATATCGATTTCTGACCAGTGAGGATAAACATGCAATACAAAGTTCAGGATGATCAGCTCGTCGGGTCAGCGAATAAATCCCATGCTTTCTTTTTATGTAGCAAGAAAACGATAATATTACACAAGTCTGTGTGTCTTTCGACCTTATTTCGGTCATACATGCTTAAAATTCAATAACTCGTGGATGTGTGTACATGTGATTTTACAGTATGTGTAATTGGTGAACATGAACATGCTCAATCATAACGCCAAGTTCAGTCAGCTGTGTGATCCAAACCGGCATTCAATTAACAGAGAATTCCGGTCAGTAGCCTCCCACCTCTACTCACCCCCTGACTGCTCCTGACGACAGCGAATGACCTTGAAAAAATGTGTCCCTGAAAGCTTAAAAGCCAATCATTGCATCAATCAAGTGCGTCTTCAAATTGACATTGGTTTACTTTTTTCTCATGAAGATACAAATGAACAACTTGAAGCTATCAGATGTTCCTCAAGTGACAGGAAACAGCGGAAGGGAAAGGTTGTGACCCCATTTTGTCCATTGATGGCTCTGTGCTTAAATTAGAAGTTGCCTGAGGGTGCATATATATATATAGGTTTGTGTTTACAATTAGAGAAACTACTCATCGATCTTTACATAACTATTAAACCAGCTGCAGCAGAGAACCACAGTGGAAAACACAAACCAACAACTGAAGATATCTATACAAATATAGAACGGTGAGTAAATGAATGACATTGGGACCTTATTAGCTTTCATGGAAACAGCAGTTTGTACCTCAGCTTTCCATTAAAAATGTGAACTCCTGAAGCAAATCTGAGATAACCGTGATGACATCTCTATGACTTCGTCAAGTTTATTTTCTCAGACTTTATGAAGCTCCCTCCATAGCCCTGGAAGACATTATACACCTGGTTTAAACCGGTACCCTTTACAAAACACATCAATATTGAATCGCTGAGCTTTGAAATACCAAAAACAAAAACACTCTGACAGAAACAAACAAATTGTGAATTAAAGATCAAATCTATAGGAATGTAAAACATTTGCAGTGTGTCAACCACTTGGGATGTTTGGGTTAAAATCACCTGGATAATCGGAGCATGCTGGGCAATTCAATTGAGTCAATTCTGCTGCATCAAGACTGCATCAGACTAAAAGAAGATGAGAACATTTTTCAAATAAATGTGGGAAGACTAGAGGGTTTGAACGTTTTGATGATAATTGGTTAATATGGAGCCCCAAGTTCCAAAGTGGTTTCCTTGAAAGTTCTCAATAATTGTAAGCCAGAGAGACAGCGGTTATAGCGTTTAAATCAACTACTGTATTTCTTTGTATTATTTTTGTATCCTTACCTTGTCTTGCAATGACAGGTTTCCCTACGTCTCCCTGCAGGAGCATGGAGAGCAGTAATCAGGGAGATTGGCCACACCTGGACTCTCTGCCTCACTACTCGTTATAAACTGGTTTCGGCTTGGTTTGGTTTCATTTCCTTTGCTTCAAGTTATTTATTGTCTTTTACTTTTTGTTCAGTAAAATGAAAATCTTTCAAGTTACAACGCATGTATGTCGCCCCCCTGATATCAACTTTGATTCTGGTTTTGACAACATTGACTAGCTCCACTGCTGATAAGAGCATTGAAGAAGGAAGAGCAGACCTCGCCTAAATTAATCATTGTACTCTCCCCTAAATATGTTTCCTCTAAATAGCAGACTGTTTTGATTTGCCTTGGTTATCGAGTCAGTTATTACATCAAACATCAAAATAAAATGTCCAACAGAACAAATCTCTTCAAGGCACTTGGCCCAGAAAACCATGAGTTATTTTTGAGGATATTTCTAACAAGTCGCTGCCTTTGTATCTCTGTCAAATATTCAATCCTATGTTTGCAGATGTAATAGTTTAACACCTTTATATAAAAAGATATGTTTAGGCGTGTAAAAAAATCCATGGGGAAAGAGCTCTATCCATTCAGCTGAATTATTCAAAGTGTCTGTTCAATAAAATACTCAAAGACATTTGAGAGTTGTCACATCACGGTTATTTCTCACATCACAAATTGGCGACGAGGATGGGATTGGACGAGCAATTGGGACTCCGTTGGACAGAAGTGCACTACTAGATAGCTGATTCCTCCCAGCTGGTTGAGAGGCTGTCCTCAGACGGGGTTCGAGATTGCCGCTCCGATCCTGGAATTGGAAAAAGAATGCCACCCGGTGAGAAATTATTTTGTGATGTAACAGACACTTTGAAGTGGTAGACTTGTAATCTCGCACTCAAGTTTGGTAAGGGTGCTGGACAGATGTGTCCTAGTTAACTTGTAGTGTTTAAAGACGTATCCTTCCAAGTTGAACTAAGTCTTGATTGGACCAGATTGTTCTGAAAATCCCGTAAACAAATAACTAGAGAGAAGTTGGCGCCTTGGTAAACCGGTATTCTTGCACATTAGGGTGTCGGACAGACGTGTCCTAGTGAACTTAGTATTTAAAGATGATTTGGTGTATCCTTTCAAGTTGAACTAAGTCTTGATTGGACCAGATTGTTTTGAAGATACCGTAAACAACTAACTAGAGAAAATGTGTAAAGTTCAAAGTAAGTAATAATCCAAACTACTAACATGAAGTCAACTCTGAATGCATCACAGTAACAGATTGTAAAAGTTCACATAACGCAGATTGTGTTTCTGCTTGATTGCTTCTTCAGGGCTTTTAAGGCTACAAAGTCTTGATGTGATTTATTGTGAGGCATATTAAGGACAATGACTTTGCGCATAGCAAGGTCACAAGAATTTGATCCACTTGGAATGATAAAACACTATGAAGGAATAATGGAAGGATAGCAGCATGGAATGGAGAATGAGGTGGTTGATAGATCTCCAGGGAGACATAGTTCTCTCTGCAGTGACGCCAATGAACCTCGACCGGACTGATGTATCAGGCGCACTGTAAATGAAGACATTTCAATGCCCCCTGTCACTTCCTTTATCTCATTCAGTTTTTTTATTCTATCTCCAGGGATGGAGCAATCTTTCTCTGCGTCTTTTTCCATTTCTTTGTATCTTTTCATCTCATATCCCTCTTATCTACCCAGCCTCTACGCTGCGACACATCAACTTTTCCCATTTTTATCTCACTATCTTTTCATTCTGCCTCCCAACTCCATCTCTACCTTTTTGCTCATTATTTGCAGTGATTTATCAGTCCCTGCCTCCATCATCATCTTTCATCTTGTCACTCGTTCTCTCTCATTAACACAATCACGCTCTCTCTCTGTAGTGTGTTTGTCCTTAACCTGTGGAAATGTATGCAGTATGCATTGTCCTACGTAATGCATTACATGATGATGTCGGTGATATTAGCCTCTTATCTACGCATGCAAATCGCCTCGGGGAGTTCCTTGGTTTATAATAACCACTGCATTGATTCACAGACCACTACACATGCTGTGAATTGAAGGCAGCTTGCTAGGAGGCCTCAGAGGCAGCAGTTTCTTTTCTAAACGGCTGCCCATTTCTGTTATTGAGGGATATTTTGTTCATATGAATAAAGTGAATTCCAAAAGAATGAAAATCGAACCTTTTTTCTTTGTGCTGACTCAAATTTTTAAAGTTGAAAGTATTACAACTTGCACTTGTGATTCACCAACACATTCTAGTCTAGACTCTATTCAGCCCTGTGTTCTCTTAGCCCTATGTTCCCTCAACTCTTTGTTCCCTCAGCCTTATGTTTCCTCAGTCCTAACCCGAACATGCTAATAACACCAGTATGCAAGAAAACATCTAGATTTGCTGAATCATTCATTGTATGTGTCATAATGCAGTGCAGCTCTCTAACTAATGGAATGAGGGAAATTCATCAAATATGTAGGCCAGTGAGGAAGTCAAGGCAACATATTTGATGCATTTTCATTGACATTTGTTAACATAAACATCAACTTCCATCATTTATGTATCGTTTAAAAATATATAATCTGTTAGACTCTGTTGAATGCAATAAATATACAGCAACATTATTATTCTAAACATTGGCCAAAAGAAATATTGAGAATTCACGAGTATCATTTTTCTAAAACAGCACACATGATTTACCTTCAAATATTGGATATGAGCCAGTAGGCTACTCTTTTTTTTGGAGAAATTGTTTGGATGTTGCTAGAGGCACTCTTTATGCAGTGACAGGACCAGAGCTCATGCATACAAATGACTGTGCTGCTGAAGTTTACCAATATGGGCATGCAGACTCAGCAAGTATCCATACTTAAGTTTCCATCACAAGGGAAAGTTACCACAATGGATTTTAACGGTGACCTTTACACAACATACCACACCTCCTAAAAGCAGCAACAGCCTCATGTGCAGTAAATGAAACGTTCAAATATGTGGTCATAAGAGCGGTTTAACATTATGTCAAAGTCTCCTGGTGTATCTTTTCTATTTCACACTACATTTGTATATAGTCTTGCCGCCTCTATATTAAGAGACCTGCGGGAGACAAATCTGCAACAAAGAAGATCTTATATCTTATATATTGTGTTTTGGGAAGGCCAACGGGCAATACTGCAGAAATGTAATGCCGTTAAATGGACTTTGGCCGGAGCATAATAATATCAGTGATTTTTTTTGCTTTTTATCACCACATTTCCTCTCTGTCTTTAACTTACCCTCCATGCCTTTATCTTCATTCTGTGATATTTGACCAATCCAGTTCTGGCATAATCTTCTAAACTCTGACATTCAATTTAGACAGTATGTCTCTGTTAGTCTGCCTCTTTCACCTATAATCGCTCCCTATTATTCTCAGTGGCGGATGATCTGGAATCATAATTAGGCTGCATTGATTGGGGGACGCTGTAAACAGATTGATGAAAACCAGCTTTGACAACTGCAATCTAGCCAGCTATCATCATTTGGGTCCACATGGTCCATAAACCTCGCCAGAGATC